AGTATATTTAAAGGTCCGCCATCTATAATTCAGATGCCTTACTGTTAGAAAGAAAACATTTTGGACAAGGTTTATTTCCGTAACATAAAAACTAGTCAAAATGGCAGGGCGGACCTCAAAACGCAGTATAACAAAAGGTCCGCCCTCTATATTTCAGATATCTTACTATTACAAGGCGAAAATTTTGAACGGGGTTTATTTTCGTAGCATAAAAATTAGAGAAGAGACAGGGCGGACCTTAAAACGCAGTATAACAAAAGGTCCGCCCTCTATATTTCAGATATCTTACTATTACAAGGCGAAAATTTTGAACAGGGTTTATTTTCGTAGCATAAAAATTAGAGAGAGAGAGAGACAGGGCGGACCTTAAAACGCAATATATTTAAAGGTCCGCCCTCTATATTTCAGATATCTTACTATAACAAGGCGTAAATTTTGAACGGAGTTTATTTTCGTAGCATACAAACTAGAGAAAGAGACAGGGCGGACCTTAAAACGCAGTATAACAAAAGGTCCGCCCTCTATATTTCAGATATCTTACTATTACAAGGCGAAAATTTTGAACAAGGTTTATTTTCGTAGCATAAAAATTAGAGAGAGAGACAGGGCGGACCTTAAAACGCAGTATAACAAAAGGTCCGCCCTCTATATTTCAGATATCTTACTATTACAAGGCGAAAATTTTGAACAGGGTTTATTTTCGTAGCATAAAAATTAGAGAGAGAGACAGGGCGGACCTTAAAACGCAATATAATAAAAGGTCCGCCCTCTATATTTCAGATATCTTACTATTACAAGGCGAAAATTTTGAACGGGGTTTATTTTCGTAGCATACAAACTAGAGAAAGAGACAGGGCGGACCTTAAAACGCAGTATAACAAAAGGTCCGCCCTCTATATTTCAGATATCATACTATTACAAGGCGAAAATTTTGAACAGGGTTTATTTTCGTAGAATAAAAACTAGAGAAAGAGACAGGGCGGACCTTAAAACGCAATATAATAAAAGGTCCGCCCTCTATATTTCAGATATCATACTATTACAAGGCGAAAATTTTGAACGGGGTTTATTTTCGTAGCATACAAAGTAGAGAAAGAGACAGGGCGGACCTTAAAACGCAGTATATTTAAAGGTCCGCCCTCTATATTTCAGATATCTTACTATTACAAGGCGAAAATTTTGAACAGGGTTTATTTTCGTAGAATAAATCTATAGAGAAAGAGGCGGGGCGGACCTTAAAACGCAGTATATTTAAAGGTCCGCCATCTATAATTCAGATGTTTTACTGTTAGAAAGAAAACATTTTGGACAAGGTTTATTTTCGTAACATAAAAACTAGTCAAAATGGCTGGGCGGACCTTAAAACGCAGTATAATAAAAGGTCTGCCCTCTAGATCTGTTTTTCAGATATCGTACTATTACAAGGCGAAAATTTTGAACAAGGTTTATTTTCGTAGCATACAAACTAGAGATAGGGCGGACCTTTAAAACGCAGTATAATAAAAGGTCCGCCCTCTATATTTCAGATACCTTACTATTACAAGGCGGAAATTTTGAATAGGGTTTATTTTCGTAGCATACAAACTAGAGAAAGAGGCAGGGCGGACCTTAAAACGCAGTATAATAAAAGGTCCGCCCTCTGTATTTCAGATATCTTACTATTACAAGGCGAATATTTTGAACAGAGTTTATTAAAAGTTATCGTAGCGTAAAAAAAAAAACTCGTTAGAATGGCAGGGGGGACCTTAAAACGCAGTATAATAAAAGGTCCGCCCTCTGTTTTTCTTTTTTCCCACATACATGTATCTCACTTACAAAGCAAAAATTATGGAAATGCTGTAAGTTCCTATTGTTTTTTTTTCTTTCTTGGTTCGTGTGTTTTTCCAGGGTAAAAAGATAATTAGGTTTTTAATTTTAGGATGGACGCTAAATTAACTTAGAAAACTCTTGGAATGGCCTAATTGTGCATAAGAATTGCATATATACTACATGTAGTAGTGTACATTTTTTCATTTAATATGCTGACAAAAAGACAAAACTTTAATGTCAATTAATTATCCACTCTATGTACTTTTGCAGGAGATGTGTCTACTGTATTGTATATCTATATGCAACCATAAACATCTGTCTGAAGGGACCAAGGATATATATTATTATTTAATTAGTAATGTTGATGAACTATAACTCCCCCCCCCCTCCCCCCTCACACACACATAAATAAAAAAGAAATAGCCGCTTAAAGTCGTAGAAAATCTAATTTAAACCAAAATCAAAATAAATATAAAAAATAATAACAAAAGAACACGACTTGGTGGTGTTTTATGAATTTTTATATCAGTCACGATCTCAACAGACACTTTCCTTTTTATTTTAGGGGGAAATACATGTCAAGTTGCTCTGTAAAACCCTTCTGTAAATAGTATGGGTGGATAAGATTCTCCCTAGTAAGAAGGTGGAAAAGGAGAAAATTCTGTACTGAAGCGTACTGAGTATTTCCTATGGTGGATAATAAAGCCGGGGTTGTTTCTTCCAAGCTCGCTGCATGTCATTTCCGAAATTTTGCATTGCATTTCCGACATTTTTTGTTTTCATTTTACAATACAGTCAACACTAAGTCTAGTAAAAATACAAAGTTTAGTAATAAAATGCAATAATTTCAATAATAAAACATGCAATTTTTGATCACCAAATTTTAATGCCCAATGAATTATATGTGTTTGAAAGCACCGAAAAACAGAATCTCCTCAACTTTGATTACTTTATTCCGTCAAACATAGTTTCTGTATGTCATAAATTCTACCTAAACCTTTCTGATCTCAAATTCAGTCTGATTATCTTGATTTGAAAAGATGAACAAAAATTCACAACTTACACTTACATGTGTCCGAGGATAAAATCGTCATAAGATTCTTTTAAATATAAGCAGAACTTATTATTTGGAAATCAATGAATTATTCTTGATTTATTCTTTAATTTTTTTATAAGGGAAATTTCAATTTTGTTTTCATTGTCGGAAAAGTACTTTATGATGATAAATGTCAGAGATGAAAATTTTAAAACGTCAGAAATGAAAACTACAAAATTTAGGGAATGAAATAAACAATATTTAAAAAAAAAAATCCCGGAAATAAAATCCTATGCTAGGCTCATTTTCCAAAAGGGGAGGGGTCTTTAAACCCAAGCTCTTTTTTCCGGGAAAAAATATTAATGCGGGAGGAAAGTCTACAAGATCAGTACTTTTTAAACTATTTGACATGTATCAGCATAATTTTGCTATACCCCACCCACCAAAAATACAACAACACCATTTATAATTTTTTCCTTTTTGGGGGGAGGGGGTATTTTATTGCTTAAAATGTTCAACTCTATTGACTTTGGTTTGATTTTGCCAATTAATGCACATCTTCATTAACCAGTGTTAACCCCGGGGTAATATCAAGTAGAATGAAATAATCGTTAGTCTTTAACTGGATAAGAAACGATGGTTATAAAAACACGGGGGATATGCGACTTCAAGTTTCGTCAGGTGAGACAATAGGCCTACCCCCCAAAGCACAGACATGTTGTTTTAACAACAACGGGATAGGTTAGTACACCGTAACACAAGTCCCTGTCAAAGTGACCCTCCAATTATTTTATAGTTAGGTACATGAATCGTAAGAATTATGCATAATTATTATTAATGATATAATGAAATATGATCAAATATCTTTCGAAAGATATGAAAATTCTTTTTGGGAAGTGGAAGTCGAACGTTGTTAGGAAATAGACTGTAATGAAATGATCATTGTTGGACTTACGAACAGCATATACTGAACAATGTGCCAGTGAAGGTATGCGTATTATATATATGTATTTTTTTTTTTATTTTGCACGATTTTATCGATCACTGTTCATTATTTTCTCGTTTTTCATAATTAGAGAAATTTAGATTTTGAATGTTCTAATTATTATTTAACCAACATGCTTAAAAACTTGCAACTTTCTAAAATATTTTAATACAAACACATTATAAAAATTTTGTTCTATTTTTAAATCTATTTCAAAAGTTATACTGATTTTAAATTTTGACTTAAGTCTATTCTCAGTTTATGGTCTTGGGGTCAGGTCGGCTAATAATGGCGCATAATAAGTGCCAATCATAAATTCCAATATAGTTGCATGGAAAATCTGATCTCCAAATACAACTTAGATAATGTCAATTATGAACTCCAGCATCTTCTTAAATGATACCTGTTTCTATTTAAAATATTTAAAGTTTATAGTTCAACAACTGAACGTGAGTAGAATTATGCAACAAAAAATCACCAGATACTGATTGGATGCAACATTTTAAATTAACAATTTGATTCGTATACTGTATGTGTCGATGATGGCTGACTCCAAATACTAGAATTATGTTTATGTTTGATTTCAAGAACGATTTAGAACAATAAAAAGCGTCTTTTCTTGAGCAAAGATATAGCAAGATATATGTACCAAAAAATTAATAGAATATATGTTTCAATATTGTTCAATTAAATTAGTCGTTTCCTCATTTCGATGCATTTGACAATATAACATTATTTTTTTGATTTCCGTAACGATCTGTGATACTTCCTGATTACGTATCGTGATCCTGATATTTTCCCTCGTCTTACACCATTTCCGTATTCTTCGAATGCTATTAAACAAAACAGTAGTGTATCGTGCATTTGTAAGAGGGTAAATTCTCAATTCCTAAATTATTTTGAAGTGCGCCTTAACAAAGCGGTAAAATGTTTTACTTCCTTTCCTGACTGAGTAAACTGGTGTTGATGTTCCTACACAATTACGCCACAGAATCTACATCTATTTCCTCTTTGACAAAGTAAGTTTAGAATAAAAATAAAGTGAATCAAATGGAGGCGTCGACAAAGGATTCAAAATACATTTCGAGGATGTTTCTCCGGGGTCCTGTTTACTTTGAGTTTTGCGTATTCGATCGGGACTTATTCCTACGGGGAATATGGGCACAAGGCATTTCACGATTTGATCTACCCAAATGAGGATTTCCGAAAAAACCACACCTCCAAATCTCTGTGTGAAACGAACACAAGTTCAGAAGCTTATCATAAGGAACAGATCATTCAGGCTAAAGTATCACAATGGTCAATTTATATGTCGCTCGCACAAGGAATACCGTTATTAATATCAGCAGGGTTATTTTCTTCACTAAGTGATTCAAAAGGCAGAAAACCCTTCGTTCTTGTGAGCAATATCGGTATATTTCTGAAGGCTCTTTTAATGTGTGTAGCGGTGAGATTTCAGTGGAACATCTACATTTTTGTCATATTCAGTTTCATTGATGGCTGCTGTGGAAGCTGGGTTACTCAAATATCTCTTGCTATGGCAATGGTATCGGATTTGACAAATGTCGGAAAATCAAGATCCTTTTTGATTGCTATGGTGGGATTCATGATCAGTATGGGTTACGCCTCTGGCTCATTTGTTTCTGGTTTTATTATTCATCAGCTAGGCTTCACCTGGGGTCTGGCAATTTCCAGCATGACAGGTCTCGTGCCAATGATTATTCTATATTTTATCGAGGAAACTCTACATGAGAACAAAAGGATACGATTTGACTGCAATATACAGGCTTACTTTAAAAACTTAATTCAGTTTTATATCAAGGATGATCCTTTAAATAGAACCTCGACTAAATGGAGATATGTCCTTTCCTTATCTGCTTTCGTGTGTATAGTTTTACCCAGACTTGGTTCGTTTAGCGTTGAAATTTATTATATCATGGACACACCCTTCTGCTTTAAACCTGTGGTTATAGGGATGTTTCAGACAAGTAAAACTATCGTCTCTGATTCTGTCATTTTACTTGGGATAAAAGTATTGCAAAACAAACTTAATGATGAAACTATAGCTCTGATAGGATCTGTTTCTTCTGTTGTGTCGTTCATTATGATCGGAGTCGCACCATCTACAAGTTTTCTCATCATAGGTAAGTTATGTCACTTGAAAATAACACTTTGAAACAGAAAATGTCAGTTTACTTTGACTGATAATAATTTTTTTTTATTAATTCATCAAAGGAGAGGCCATTAAGCATCTTTGGTTTGTTTAAATAGCAGACTTTCATCACAGTTTTAACACTGCTGTAAATACTCTATTTGAGAATTAGTTGGTGTCATTTGATACAGAAAATTATTACTTATGTTGTGATCGATTTTTTCCTGTTTACATGTATATAATAAAGATATGATGCCAAACTGATTGCAGTTGATGATAGGTATCTCATGAATGGTAAAATATCAATTAAACAAAACGAGAAACACAAGAACTATTTAAGGAAGTTAATTAAGAATAAAATAATTTGATAAATTAACATTTTTAAGTGCATGCACTTATTGTATCATATGGCAAAAACATGTACTTAGAAATGACTAATTTTGAGTCCTTATTTTAGCGTCGGTGATAGGGGCTTTTGGGTTGAGCCCTCTTCCTCTAATCAGATCAATTATGTCCAAGATGACACCTCTTCACAAACAAGGTGAGTTTTAGAGGACCCTTGATTACCATCATCAGGTCAGTGATCCATAACAACACCTCTACATATACACGATGAGTTGTATAGGATCGTAGATTACTCTCATTAGGTCATTTATGTCATAAATAACACTTGTCCACTAACAAAGTGAGTTATAAAGGATGGTAGAACACTCTAATCAAGTCAATTATATCTATAATGACACCTTTCCTCAAACAAGATAATTTATAAAAAAAAATCATAAACCATTCTTGTCAGGTTATTTATATCCATAACGACACCACTTCACAAAAATGTGAGTATTAGTGGATCTTATATTAGAGTACTTGCATCAGTCCAATGAATTATATCAATGAACACAGCTCTCCACAAACAAGGTGAGTTGAAGAGGATCCTAGATTTTCACATCAGGTTAATTTTATCCATACCTGTACCCATATAAAGTGAATTGTAGATGATCGTAGACCACTCTAATCGGTTTAATTATATCCATAACAACATCTCGACAAGGTGAGTTGTAGAGGATAAAATATATGGAGATAACGAACAGTATTCAAGCTCAAAAGTCCATTAAACAATACAAAATAGGAGCAGAGCAAACACGGACCTCCAAAACATCAGAGGTGGGATCAGGTGCCATGGAGGAGTGAGCATCCCCTGCCGACCGGTCACACCCGCCATGTGCTCCTTGTCATGATCGGGAAATAACGGAAAAATCCGTCGACAATTCAGTGTGTTAATAATGGCCTAACAATTAGTATGAAAAAAGTCAGTCAGCATTTGACTCAATGATAAATTATATTTGCTGACAAGGTCATTTTATTAACCATAGAAATTAGGAAATGATGACTTTAAACGAGACTGCTGATATTCTTGTTTCATCAACTTGTTTGTCAATAATTTACCTCGTTTTAGATAATGTACATACGTAGAACATGCTATTGCGTATAGAATCAACTGAGAGAAATAAACCCCGTATGCAGGTGATGAAGGTATATTGCTGCATAAGTAATGGAAGTTGATGATTGAAAAGTTAAAGTCATCACGTTTATCATAAAAATTGCTTGTTAGATTACCATTAACGTCTTTTTCAAGTAAAATATCAAAATATGAAACAGATGTGTCAGACTCTGTGGTATCTTTTATCCCAAGCTCACCAGGATAAATCGTATCGACGTGAGAATGGAAATAACCATTGTTAATTGACAATACGTCGTCGATATATCTAAATGTCGAGTTGAAGGCGACAGCAAGTGTTTTCTTTTTTCACGTATAAGATTTTGGACAAACTCTGCTTCATATAAATACAAAAAAGGTCTGCTAATAACGAGGCATAATTGGTACCCATGGAAATTCCAATAGATTGTTGGAAGACCTGGTCTCCAAAAACCACATAGATATTGTCAATCAGAAACTCAAGCATCTTTTTAATGTCAACTTCAGAGTACTTGTGTGTACAATCAGAATGTTTTTTAACAAAGTAATTTTGCAAATGACCAATGACAAGGTGAGTAAATTTACGAGTTCCATTTTTATTGAAAAAGCAGCTATCAATGATATCAAAAAGCCTGGACTTTAACTTATCGTGGGGAATGATTGTGTATAAAATTGAAAATTCCTAAGTTTTTAAGCTGTTGATTTTGGTAAATTCTTGTGGTTTCAAATCTTCCAAAAGTTCCTTGGAATTTTTAAGTATCCACATCTGATTTACACCTCTTCTCGAATATATTGTTGCACAGTACTCTTGAAGTTTCTCCTTCACTACTATTAATATCTTAGTGAGGAGTAAAGAAAGAGGCTTGGTTGAACATATCCTAGGATCATAGATCAGTCTCATCAGGTCAAATTGAAAAGTGTGAACCTGTCTAGCATGTCTGTCCACAAACAAGGTGATATATAGATGATCCTAGACCACTCTCATCAGGTAAATTATGTCCATAATCACAGATTTCCTCAACAAGGCTGAGTTGTAGAGGACCCTAGATTACAAAGCAAATTCTTTCTGTTCAAGGATTAGATAATAATAAGATCTTATTAAATCATATACTTTTCATACAAGGTATGAATTTGAAAACTGGATGGAATGAAACGTGTTTTGCAATTTTTAGACAATTGGACCAAATTGTTCTGGAGCCATACACCAATTAAGAAATATAATTATATAAATACTAGGGATGGCAATCGAATACAGAATTGCTAATCGGTTAACCGCATGACGTTCCGACCGATTAACCGGTTAATCGTATCAAAACAGACATTTTTCTTGAATTTTTTTTTTTCGAGTAGCTCTATTCATATACACAAGAAGACTGAAAAAGAAGTTAGAAGTTAAAATATAATTTAATTGATAACGGCGAAAGACACACATACCAATTCATAGTGCTAAAAGGTGATTTAATATCATTAAAGAATTACAGGACAATCGGGGTTTTTAAAAACCGTAATTAACTTCACAAACTGACCAATTACTGCGCAATCTCAAACCGGAGAGCTGTAATTACATCCAAATCAGCTTAAGGATATCCGATCCTCAGCCAGGAAGGATAACTCTTAAATTTATTGATTTATTTAAAAAGTCTCAAAATGAAGCTTGAAATTGAGATCTTTTCGTGCAACAATTTTCATTTTATGCATCTTAATATGATTCAAGGTTCTTTGAAGTCTTAGAAACGGACTTGTAAAAAGTTGACATTTGAACCCCATAAAAGAAAAAAAATTGATTCATTTTTAGAGAAATAGAATTTCCTTTAGTCTAGCATTAGATACCACTGCTTATTAGCATGATATGAAATTAGATGTGATATGTGATGTCTAGCAATGATAGCACAAGCTTTTTACACTATGTTTTATATGAAAATTGAAGTAAAAAGAAGAAAAAAAAATACTGTATAAGCATATAAAAGACGCAATTTTCTCTAAATGCCTGGATACCTATATTTTTCTATCCTAAATTATGTTTGTTGATCAATTTTCAATTAGAAAATGCATAGCTGGTGTTTTTATTCGCATTTCCTGAAAATATATTTGAGATTTGATAATTTTCCCTACATAATATGATTAACTCTAATGATGAACTCTGAAGAAATTCCATGGGTAAATTCACGTTACTATGTGAAATCAAAGACATTTTTTGTGAGCATTTTCAATTACTTAAAAGCTGATATTTCGGAACCTGAGGATCGGACTACCTTAAACAGATATGTGAAAACGCTCAACTTTTATGAATTTTAGGATAATTGCATTTAAATTTACATACATTTTATTTTTTCCGACTAACCGATTACAGATTTTCTAACCGATTACTATCGTTCCGACCGAGTAATCGGTTAAGCGGTTACAAATTGCCATCCCTAATAAATACAAATACTGGACAAGATCACACTATTCAGAGGGAGCACCTTCAACTTGTCCATTTTTGAGTGTTCCAACTTTTTAAAATAGTATTGTGGAGTATAAAACAGAAAGGTACTGTGTTAACATTTCTCCATGAATTAAACTTTTTTTTAGCCAGATACCTGCATTTAATCTGCACTTTGAGAAATTTACAATAAGCGTACATATAGGATTACTAAAGTACTTAGGAGGTTTAAATTATATGTTTAGAAATAGAAATGAGTTTGATATTAAAAGATGCTTGAGTTTCTCATTGAAAATATCTATGTTGTTTTCGGAGACCAGGTCCTCCAACAATCTGTTGGAATTCCCATGTATAATAATTGTTCCCAGTTATTAACAAACCTGTTTTTGTATTCATATGAAGCAGAATTTATTCAAAAACTTCTACATAAAAAGAAATTACTTGCTTGGCCTTCAATTCGACATACAGATAAATCGACGACTTTTTATCAATTAAGAACGCTCAGTTTTATTCACGATTCATGATTCGATACATCTCACAGAATCTGACAAATCTGTTTTATAATTGGATATTTTACTAGAAAGAGGTTCTAATGGCAAGCTGACAACTTTATGATAAACGTGACAATTTTAATTTTCTATGATCAATTTCCCTTGTTTATGTAGCCATATACCATTATCACCTGCATATGGAATTTATGTCTCCTAGTTGGTTCGATATACAAGAGCATATTCCAAGCACGACTAACTTCTAAAACGATGCAAGCTTATGACAAATAAGTTGATGATACAAGGATATCAGCATTCTCATTTAGCCGAATTGAGCACGGATTTTCACGATTACGCGATCATGACAAGGGTGTGACCGGTCCGCAGGGGATGATTACTCCTCCATGGCACTTGATCCTACCTCGTATTCAGAGGACTTTGTTTGCTCTACTTGTAATTTGTTTTGTTTAAATTGACTTTTAAGAGTGTTACTGTTCGTTAGCTTCACAATTCATAATTGTATGACAAACCAGTTTTTGAACCGTGCTTCATTCATTACTCCAAACATTGATGCTACACGTGTTTTTCTAACAATTTGCAAAATAACAAAATATCACGTGATTTGAATAACTTAACACTAAAATTTTGCATCTTTTAAATAGCAAAAATGAATATGTTAAATATTTGTTATTACAGGTACAATGTATGCTGGGATTGCTATAGTTGAGAACATCTGTGCTTGCGTTGGGTCTGTTATGGGGTCCTCTATTTATTCTGTTACTGTGAACGTAGACAGAGGGATCGTCTTCTTTGTCTTCTCTTCATTTCTCTTCCTGGCCAGTGTTCTGTTGGTGTAAGTATGAAATTTATCAAATAAAATTGATAGCCCTGAATTCGTCAAGTAAATTTATTATGCTGTTTCGTTGAGACATATCTCGTCTCATGGTAGGTACTGATTAGAGAAGCACTGAGTCCAGCGTACAGATTCATAAGAGAAAGGAGGGGTTGACAGTGGCTTCCGTATTCAAGATATCTTGTGATAATGTCTAGAAGTGTCTGAACATTTATTTCAAACTACGATTTTTCAAATATGTGAAATAGAGAAAAGTCAACTGCACTGTCTTGCTGATATTTTCTTTCCGTTTCTTTTTCTTTTATTGTTTTCGGGAGGGGGGGGGCTTCCTTTTTCTAGATATCTTTTTTATAATTTATTTTAACAGCTTCTTTCGAATGTATGTTTAATACGTTACTTTAGCAGTCATATGAATGATTTTTTAAGAACATCAAATCAAATTAACCTTCCTAACACTTTTAAAATTAAGCTTTATTCTACACTCATTAGGTCTAGAACAATTTTATTTTGTTTCAAATTCCTGCCTACAGCATGGTTATGATAGTTTTATACATTTATACAGAATCACATGAAACTGTTACATCAATCATCTTTTTTGTTTATTTCTAGATTTCTTATTCTCAGTAGCAGACAGAGGAGAAATGGCTATGAAGTTATTCAGGATTCTGTGGAGGAAGATAGTATTTCAAATAAATACATTAACGTGACTTAAGATCTAATACTGTGTCTGAGAACTAAAAATAATGAAGCTCTTCTACTTCTTATTTTGTGATTGTATTTGTACACGGATAGGCATTCAAAGCTATACATGAAAGACGGGAATATTACTGTTCTTAACACGAACAATTCATGACAGAAGAGTCTCACACGGGGTCCGTGTTCTATGCCCTGTTTAACAGATTCGCAATGTTTGTAGGGTTTCTTTTTTGACCGATCACTGTTCGCTATATTTACCTTTTTCATTTTCTTTATATATTAATTTATTATTTAATTATTATGTTTTCTACAACGATCATTTACTGTCTTATATTGAAGAAAAAACCATCTGTATATTATTAGTGGAATTTTACAGCATTTCAATTACGTTTAATCTTTAACATATAGCATGTTTATCAATACAATACAATACAATGGCAATATTGACTAGTAACGAGATTAAAGATACCCTTGTATCATCAACTTGTTTGTAAGTAGCCGACCTTGCTTTATAAATGTTCGCACGAAGAACATGGCTTTACGTATCAAATCAACTGTGAGACATAAACACCTTATGCAGATAAAATGGTATACTTCTACATAAACAAGCATTCTGAGAGTATTGCATTAGCAATACTTGTCCCCTACCGGCAACTGTAATCTGGTTCCCGTTAAAAATTGAAAATGCCATAATTCCGTCAAAAATCAACGAAGCGGAACAAAATGCAAACTTGATCTATAAATAATCAAAGTAAAGTCACATACCAAAAATCACCTCAATATCTACAAGCGTTTAGAAAAAAGTGCGGAAAACAAAGTGGGACAGACAGACAGAGGGACAGACAGACAGCTAGACAGACGGACGGACAGACTCAGAGGAAACCTATAGTCCCCTCCGGTTTCACCGGTAGGGGACTAATAAGGGAAAAGTTTACTGGATTTATGAGATTGATCGTTATCTTCACCTTTTACAAAATGTTTAGATGTTAGTTTGCCATCCATATCTCTCTCCAGTAGAATATCCAAATATAAAGCATTTGTATACAAGCTTGTTTAAAGTCAACATACCGACAATTCTATGGTAGATACAATTACCTTGTTTGCAAATACAACTTGTCATTAGGTCGAATGTTGGTTGGCGTCTTTGATACAAATTGTAAAGCAATCATTTTCACAACACCGAATTGACTACGGATTTTTCCGTATAGCCGATAATAAGAGGCACACAATGGATGTGAACGGTCAACAGGGTACATGTATGCTTACTTATCTATGGTACCTGGTCTCACCTCTGTTTTTCAGAAGTCCTTATTGTTGGATCTTCTCACAATTTGTATTTTTTAAAGGGGTCCGACTCTCGGATAAGAGAGATAACTTTCCAAGTGAAAAATCCTAATATTAGTTTTAAAACCCTTACAAATTAGATATTAAGTTCTTTTTAGAATAAGGACCTTTTTTGAACCATTTTTAATATGCTTTTGCATCATGCACCATATGTAGAAGTTTTATAAATATTACATTTTTTATGGAAAAATATTTTTTTTAAGAAAGATAACTCTTGCTAATGCATGTATTCTTTTCCTACAAGCACATATTACATTATGATATTCTGACTTAGGAAGCAGCACTTTACTATGTTTTCTTATATGAATTTAATAGGTATGACACTAAATATTATTTCATATACATGTATTATACTTTCATGTAAATCAGTTGAATCTGATTCGTCGAGAAACATTTGTTACCCGCTGAATAATAAAGCCACGCCCCCAGCGTAGCAATAGTCAACATTGCTTGACGACGGGTGATATTCTAAAAAATAATGACTGCGCAAAATTTATGCGCGCAAGGTTCACTGTTATATGTATTTATATAAAACATTCAGTATAATATAATAAATATTGCATGTAGTTGAGTGTAACATTGAAAATTTTCACCCCCTCGAAAACTGTTGTCAACCTCGACTGCGCCTCGGTTGACAATGGTTTCTTGGGGTGAAAATTTTCAATGTTACACTCAACTACATGCAATATTTATATAATACACCTCATATTTTTAATGTAATGTTGTGATAATAAATTATTACTCTTCCTATTCTCTGTGTTAAAATTTCTTCATACCATGGTCTGATATAAAAATAATTTCAAAAAAATATGCAGGGCTTGATACCTAATGCTATTTTTCATTTGAATCTATGGCTCTTGATGAAAATCATTTTTTTTTAAAGTTGTGAAATTTAGAGCAGAGGGTTATAACTCCTTACATGGACTTCTGCGCATGACCACTGTTCGTTATCGTTCATCAAGTACTGAAAGCATATTGACAATAAACGTGGAAGTATTTTGAAACATTTTTTGTTCTCAGCTTTCCTATCCTTACCTGACAAACTGCTTACATTGTAACAGTTTTATATATATATATATATATATATATATATATATATATATATATATATATATACATTTGCAAATGTTTTCTTTTACATAACACTATTAAAAGCAACGCGTATCTATTTAAGAAATAAGGTATCATTTTTAAACATCTATCGGGATATAAATACGGGTTGGTCACGAGATCAAATTCCATAAAGCCCGAAGGGCTTTATGGTAAATTTGATCTCGTACCAACCCGTATTTATATCCCGATAGATGTTTAAAAATGATACCTTATTTCTTATATTTACATTTGTGACTTATTCATATCATATATTAGCCTGATTATAACCTTTAACGCGTGAAATGTTTTATTTTTTCAAACTCAATGGCACAAGTTTGATCTATTGATTGCGCGTCGACCCTTTATGACGTCACTGAGAAATTACGTCGAACGTTTATGACGCGAGGAACCCGTGTTTATACGGATATAGATACGCGTTGCTTTTAATAGTGTTATATAAAAGAAAACATTTGCAAATGTAAATATATCAGTATAAACACGGGTTCCTCGCGTCATAAACGTTCGACGTAATTTCTCAGTGACGTCATAGAGGGTCGACGCGAAAACAATGGATCAAATACGTGCCGTTGAGTTTGAAAAATAAAATATTTTAAGCGTTAAAGATTATAATCAGGAAAATATAAAATATAAATAAGTCATAAATGTAAATATAAGTAATAATGTATCATTTTTAAACATCTATCGGGATATAAATACGGATTGGTCACGAGATCAAATTCCATTGTGATATAAAAATATAACTGTTTATCAATTCAATCCCTTTGAAAATTGATCATATAGAAAATGAGTGTCTTCGACTGTAGATGTTAATATGTGAATTTATAAATGACATTGAAAAAGGTAACATAGAAAAATATTTAACCTACTAAATAGGGAAAATATTCATGGTATGATGTCAAATGGTAAGTGTCATTTGGAATTTTATTTATAGTTTACATGTCATACACAAGATAGATCACATCTGGAGGAATGTTTTTATCTACAACCTTTAATATACGTAGTAGTGAGGTCAGTGTTTTCACGTGAAGTTATTTGATACTGAGAGGGATCTCAAACACTTTTAGTTTTTCTAGTAATTGTGTATCTTATCTCTTCCTATTGTTATATTTATCATCACTGGGCGATAAAACTTCAGGTGATGACCCTGCCATCTCAATTGATTGTAGAGCGCAGACATGATAACTTAGGTGAAACAATACAAGGTAGATTTGATATGATTTTTTTTCTTCGTAATAAAGAACTTGTCTAGATTTTGTTTTAAAGATTCCATGAATGACTTACGCTCTATTTTTTTTTTTTTTTTACAATTTGGTAGATGAAGAACGGCGTTCTATTTAAGTCCCTATATTGATAACTAAAGATCTGTTTATCTACAAGGTAAGTGTACATATATTCAACCTACGAATGTACTGAGCTTCATACATGGACTACATTTGGTCATTTTTAATGATTTCCTCAAATCCATTCTGGAAATACTGAGTAATAGCAAATATCAGGGCAAAATTTATATGATACATACCTGTCAGCTTAGTATCTTTGTTTAATCAAAACAGAAAAAAATTCTATGCAAGGACATTATTGACTGACTTGCCTTTTTTAGTTATCATTCTTCTATTAACCTTGACTCAGCAGGGGGATTAAGTTTTGTTTTACTCAAGGTTTCTTGGCTGGAGAACTGTATAATAGGCGTTAGTATTGCCTCTAAAATTTCCAAAACATTTGGGAGTTCTAATATCAAAATTTCATGCTCTTTCATAGCATTCTGTTGTCTTGACATTAAAATGTACTACACAAATGCTTTAAAATGGACTAATAATACGATTTCATTCTTTTTATCAAAAGGTCTAAGAAAATCACACTTGTTTAGAAAAAACTGAGATAACTATTCTGAAGAAACTTTCAAGAAAAGTCACACAAAAACTAAAATGGATAGCAGTGAGAAGACAAAGCTTTTGGATGAAGATGAAGAGGCACCTAAATCTGTGAAGATCCCAGTCACAGGTTTTGTCATCGGAATCATCGTGTTCGTACATATGGCATCATTTACCATCCTACTGTTTGACTTGAATCAGTATACTTATAGTGTATATAAAGACAAAGAGTTTCCGAACGCAACATTGAACAAATCAGATAAATCTCTTTGTGAAACCAATACGAGTTCCCCAGAATTTCAGATGGAGCAAACTATACAGTCTGACACAGCAAGATGGACAGTGTATATATCTATATCGGGTGGAATTCCAGCCATATTTTCAGCTCCTTTAATTTCCTCTTTGAGCGATAGATTTGGAAGAAAGAAAACACTTTTGGTTCCATTATTTGGATCCCTAATAAAAAGTGGACTTTGCTTCCTGAACATTTTCATGAAATATGACGTAAATTTTTTCATAATTTATCTGTTTATTGAGGGTTGCACTGGAGGATGGGTCTCCTCTGTAGCCATTTGCTCGTCCGGTTTCGCCGATATTACAAAGGCCGGAAAACAAAGGTCTTTTGCGTTTGCAATTCTTGGTCTAGGTGTTGGGGTCGGATTCCTAGCAGGCACCCTGCTTTCTGGGTATCTGATAGAAGCATTTGGGTTTAACAGCCCTGTCATTGCATCAGGTGCCATGGTTCTGGTTGGGATACTATTCACCACTTTTGTTCTTAAAGAACCATTGAAAGAGGAGAATCGGGTCAGTTCAGTTCACCCCCTACGTCAGATTAAAGAATCATTAGATTTATACATTCATGGAAATAAAGATCAAAACTATGGACGACGTTGGCAATATATAATACTTATACTGGCATTCAACTTACTAAGCATGGCGGCTTTAGGGAAAACCAATGTTGAGATTCTGTACCAAATTGGCTCTCCATTTTGTTGGAGTCCAATCAAAATAAGTAATTTCGGCACTATACGCAGTGTCATTCAGGAGTTTGTGGGTGTCGTCTCTATACGATTACTACAATGCTTTATGTCAGATGACTTCATAGCAGTCATTGGAACTCTATCAGCTATTGGTTATTTCGTAATGGAAGCACTATCAAAAACAACTTTTGAGCTTTACATGGGTGAGTACTATATTTACGATTCCTCAATATACAATTATTTTCAAAGAAAAATAATGAAATCTATATTATACCTGTTAGTAGTAAAGTGATTCTGAAATAATTTTACGTTTGACAAGTGAATTTGGTATTTTATAGTTCCAGTTGTCGGTTGCCTAGGTATTATAGAAGTCACAATGATACGATCTATCATGTCTCGCTTAACACCACCAGATAAACAAGGTAGGACAATAATCAAAACACATTCTGTCTGTGTGTTACACTCATCAGAAAGATGTTCCACATTTCAACAAAAAACAAGTAGACAAATTTGTTAAATTGTTTATTATGCGCCAATTATAGAAACAAAGTATCTCGGATCTTAATATCAAAACTTCAACATTGCACAACCAATTTCAACAGTACTGTTTTCATGGATATTTTATTGATGTTCATTGAAACAGTACAGAAAATAAAATAAAACAGATAAAGTAATAATAAAAAGGAATATTATCCCACAAACTACTACGGGTGGGTGATATATTTCGAATATTTATTTTTCCACTATTTTTGGTCCTAAGGCAAACACTGAGAAAGGATAAAGGACCCCAGGGAAATATCTTTTGTCAGTTTAAAGAGGCTAGAGGTCTCAAGGACTTGGTGGAGCTAGTTAGCTAACTTGAATTTTGTTGTCACTCGGATTGTATAATGGGACAGGGGTTGAAAGTCAGCTATTATTCCTCTTAGTTTGAAGTGTGCTTCAACCCATTACTGGGGCAAGGTAAATGGTCCATAGTGCTATCATTTCCAGCTATCAAAATGGGGCTGTAGTGGTACCTAAAATCAAGATATTTTTTCTCTCACAACCAATGGTGTAAGATAATGTGTTCGCTTTTGAGACAGCAAGGTGAGATTTACCTAATTTAAAGGATACTATAGATTTATCATTTCATCACTATTTTTCCCTAACATTTAAGAAAAATTTTAATATGAATTTGATAGGTTTCTGCAGTAATAGACAGAGTGATTCCGATAATCTCAATGAAAGAAACACATTAATGAGAATATTTTGCAGAACTAATTTTGTCCCATTTAGCTTTACAGATTTTGTAGCTTTGTGTAACAATTAAATCTTTCGTTTCTTAAATGCCTTTTATTTTCTGTGTTTTGAAAAGATCACTTATAACAAGACAAACTAAGGTAAATGTATAAATTTTAAAAATTAAACCCTTTGAATCGCCAATTTTGTGTCTTAAAGATTTCTTTCTAACATAAATACGTTACATAGTGTTGTTTTAAGATACTGAATTGTAGAAAATGCATTTAGGATGTCCACTCCTCAACCAGGAACAATAACTCTTGAAATTATTATCGAATTAGTCTCAAAATGACGATTGAAATTAATGGGTTTTTTTTCTTTTTCGTGCAACAATTTTCTTTACATAAAATAAGATTCAAGGTTCTTTGAAGTCTTAGAAATAGTATTGTAAAAAGTAGACATTTGCACCCCCAAAAAGTACCCAAAAATTACATTTTAGATATATTGAATTTCCTGTACCAATGCTTATTAGAATAAAATAAAATTGGAAGTGATCTGTGCTATCTTGCAATGATATCACATGCTTTTTACACTAAGTATTTTATAACAATCAAAATAAAAAGAACTAAAATAGCAATTTTTATTTACATAAAATTTACTTTTTATATCAATTTTCAGTTGGTAAATATAGTCCTTTTATTTACATGTTCTGTTAATATATTTTTCCACATATATATTCATGATTAACTATCATGATGAACTTTAAAGAAATAACATGGGTAAATACACATTACTTAAGGAATTCGGTTACAATTACATTTTTGTGAGTATTATCAATTATTAACTGCTGACTATCAAAACCTGAGGCACGGACTACCTCGAATTGTTGATTTTGTGTGACATTTAGAAAACATAAAGGTTCACTTCTATATAATTAGGGATCTGACCTATAGGGCCGGGCTTGGTTTTTTTCTCTACAAAAAGCTTGTCGATTTCCGTTCCGATTAATGACATTAGGCTGAATACATGTAACAATTTGTTTTTCATAAATCTTTATTTCAGTGAGTAGAGGTAGGAGGAACACTTTCATTGATATTCTGAGTTTGTTATCTCCAAATATAATAATTGATATTTTCTTTACTTCTCATTGTACATAATGGTAATGTCTACTGTCTCTGGAATTCTATTTGTTATGTCTAGGCTATTTATTTTACAACACATTTCCGTTGGATATAATAAAAACATGCCATTAATGTGTGCAAATCATATAGGCCTAAGTGAAATCCAGTGGAGTACAGTTACTGATATGTGTAGCCCTACTTTTTCAAAACTTAAGATCTTAAAACATTGACTGAAAACAAAAGTACATGTATGTTATTCTGAATATATTAAGCTCAAATAATTCAAGCAATACATAACATACTACATGTAACCAAGACAAGCACTTGTAGCACAGACAGAATAAAAGCAATGTGATTAAATTCTAAGGAATATATATAATTGAAATTCATCGCAGCTCAATGCTGCCGAGAATACCTGTATCGAGTAACACAGAGTGAGTTATTCTTGTCCTCGGAGAAAGTGTGATTATACTGAGATTTGTTCCGCCTGACTGACAACTGTACATTGGATTGTTACGATTTGATCTCTCTCTAGTGTTTCTTATATCAAGAATGGGAATGCATAAAGGATAGATAATTGAAGAAAAATACACAAACCTATAAAAAAAAATTAAAATAGTCTTTGAAAAGGCGAAAATTTAAAACTATAAAAGTGTGGCACCAGGTGGATTCGAACCCCCGACTTTAAAAAAGAAAGTACCCACGATATTAAAGTCAGCGCATAAATCAAATGAGCTATTCTGACAACAAGATTGAATGGTATAAATTTGAAGCAGATTGTCAAAATCAAGTTTACTTATTTTTTGTAGGTTTTTTGAGAATTTCGACCCTAGGGCAGGGGTGCCCCTAAAAAAATCCTATCTTAAATTATTCCTTACATCCCACCTATCAAAATATCACAATTTTATTTAGGGGCAGGCCTGCCCTGAAGGACTTCTAGGCTAAAATTCATGCAAAAATCAACGCTTTAACGGACAAAATGGTGTTTTGGTCAACTTTGGAGGTTTATTGTAAAGTTGTAAATAATAAATTTTAGTTCTAAAATACAAATTTGAAAGATTTAGACATACATATGATAGAAAACAACAAATAAAGATTGATTTTTAAATGTCACTTTTTCCGGGAAATTGTTCTCTCCTATAGGTCAATTCTTTTGTAATAGTAAATACTTCCTTAAGATATAAAACATAGCAATAGTTTCACAAGAATTTTTTGGACGGTGGTTCACATACTATAGATAATCACACTGTTTATAATGTAAAAAACTTTCAGAAAACAAAAAGAAAAGAATAGAAGTAATACATGTGTGATATTTTAATATTGTGAGTGATGTGTGTAAAATGAATTAAAATCTAAGACATACCAACTTTTATTTTTTCCTTTTACTTATTCATTTCCACTTTCTTTTTCCTCAGGCTCAATGTTTGGGGGCATTGCATTGTTCGAGAATATCTGTTTTATGGTTGGGTCCGTACTGGGTGGAGCCATCTACTCAGAGACAGTCAGTTTTCTCCCTGGATTCGCTTTCTGGGTCATGGCAGGATACAACGTTATCGCACTCTTCCTTCTTGTGTAGGTATACGTCATGGTGTAATGAGAAATCACTTTGTTTGTAGTTCAATTTAGTGAATTTCGTAGATTTACCTTACTCACAAATTAACAATATAAAGAAACTAATGAATTTATGGATATCAGAGAAATTGGCCCTCTATGAATTAAAAGTATTACACAATATATTTAAAGTTGCAATGTTCAATATATAATCCACGGGCCATTTCACTTGGCTTAGTCATTTTTTTTTCTAGAGAACAAAATTCATGTATTTAAAAGTGATAAATGAACACCTACGCTGCATCAAATATTTTTGGCCATGTCTTTCTTTTAGTAGTCTAAAATTTCAAGGCTTTCTTCCGATGTAGATACTTTTCTACTTTTTTTTTGTTGGAATACATAAAAGATAATATTAATTAACCAGTGAGAATATAAATATATGGAAGCTACCCTAATCTACATTTGTTAAATATCTGAGTTCTGAGACTATTTGTACATTTGCATATTTACTAGCGTAAAACGACTAGCTATGTTATATAGAGCTACATACATATAACACATACATGTACTTGTAGGCAACATTCTCTTCTAAATAATTTTTTTCTTTGTTTCAGAATATTTTACATTGGCTCTAAAAGACAAAGTATATACTACAAGGAAATTAATATCACCTAAGACTAACTTCTACAGGGTTTGGAAACAGCAATTTCTTATTTTCATTGAAGGGAAATTTCTAGCTCTACTTCATAATCTTCATAATTTCCTTTACCTTGATATTTTCATAAGCATTTTCAAATTAACAAGAATATCCTGAGTTATGTAAAATATTATTTAGATGTTACTGGATTTACAATGCTGTTTTTGTCGTAAAAATTCGTTTAGGTAACTTGCCCTTTTTTAAAGATAAAAATAATGTAGATCAATGCCACTTTCTTGATTTGTGCATATTTTTGAATCATTAAAACATAAAACAATGGAGTAAATTTTACAAGTTACTATTTGTACTGCATATTTGCTAATTTGCGAGTTTAAATGAATTGTTTGTAAGAGTCAATATGTGTGAACTGCTACTGCTGCCTTGCTTGATACACATTCTTGTGATGTGTAAATAACACATAACGTTAGACATCTAAAAGAGTTCTTATCTCATTAATTCCTAGCTTTTCTGGTTTCTTTTTGCTGTTGTTGAATGCACAGTCCATCAGCTTCTTTTTCTGTTCTTGAAGATTTAATATTCTTTCTTCTATTGTATTTTTAACGACATACTAAAATCAAAATAATTTATTGTAATTTATATTTTGTTTAACAATTTTATTGTAAACATTTACGTCTAAGGTAAGGAACACGATATAAACATGTTTTTTTCTACCTTAGTTATAATGACATCTTTGGTTTGACCAAGTCTATGACACCTGTCAAAGCACTGCTCCTCAGTGGCTGGATTCCAGTGCTGGAAGAAAAGCAAATACTCAAATATTTCTAATTCAAAAGAAATCTTGTAAGATGTAAAAAAAAAAAATTAAGTAACAAATGGTCACTACCATTTGAAAGACAATATTATTTTGTGAGTGGTGTGTTTGTTAGCCAGCTTGATGTAAAAGATGTAAATAATATTGAAATGTCTTAATACCTGGACAGGATTGTGGTTGAAAATTAAAACTGGAATGTTTATTGCAAAATAGTTAAAATAATTTTATATAATAACTAGTTAACAGTCTCCGTTGTGTTAAGGATCATTCCGAAATGACTTGCTGTATTACATGAAATACACCATAAATTTAATACTTTTTCTCAAGTGACAGTTCAAAATTAATATACAACACCAAAGACATCTTATTCTAAAGGCGAAGTTTTATTACTGGGGTAAGGAGGAAGACCCTGGATGCTGCTACAAGACTGATGCCTTCTCCTCCTGCTTTTAGAGACAACAACATCACTGTTGGCGAGTCATCTCCTGAATTGGAAAACACTTCAATGCTTTTAGCCCTAGCCTTCTGATTCATTTTACCATCCAACCGGACGAATCGAAAATTTGAACTCCTGCAATATGGAATAAAGTATTTGCTGTTCAGAAACTTTAAATTGTAATGAGGTTTAAAATGTATCTGATGTAATTAAGTGTGCAAAAAGAGTATTCACTTTAGTGGCTCCTCAATTACATCCAAAAGGGTGGTGAATTCTGAGACGATCACGCATTTTTCACCTGGGGAATCATCTCGTAATTTGTGCAAATCTATCATCAAGGCTGTTGTCTGAAGAAAATATTTTATGACTCTTTAAAGTTTTCAAAATATTTTGATAGAAATAAATATCCAGTGTATTTCATGTAAAATAAAACTAAAGGCTCATTCCATTTGAAAAAGGTTAATTGAATTGAACCTCAATTTTTAAAGTTTCAAAATTATTTTCAAAATGTTTTTAAGACATACCTTTGTGCTCAGCACAGATTTGTCTAGTTCAGGTCTTTGTAAGCGAAGGGCAAGTTCATCTGGAGGACATTCCGTTAAAGAATTCATTGACAGATTTCCTCGACAATTTGGACATGTGCCATATTGCTGAATCACTCCAACAATACACGCCTTGCAGAAGACATGATCACAATCTGTAATAACGGGGATATTTTTGCCTTCTGTCACACAAATTTCTTCTAAACAAACACTACAACAATCATTTTCAGATAATCTCAATAATGAAGCAAGCTTTTCCGTTCCTGTATGTGTATTCTCCAGCTCACTGAGAGACCTATCCAGTTTTACTTTTCCAACTAAAATAAAATGAAAAACATTTTTTTTAAAAGAGAGCAACACGAATACGTAATATATTTTCATGTTGCAAAATCTTTTATTGGATTATATGATCTAATTATAAAAGTTAGAATAATGTATTTAATGAAGATTTATAAACCTTTTGCTTTTGGTGGAATTATTTCTGGGTGACAACAAAGCTGCCTCAGTCGTACTAGTGCCGCATAGAAGAGGCCAATTTCTTGAAGGTGCCTTCTTTCATCAATCAGTCTGAATTATAAACAAATTTAAGACAAAAGAAGTCTCACACAATGTATTCAGAAATTGTATTTCGGGATGATTTTAAGATTAAATTCCGGAAAATTTACATGTAACAAGGCATTTTAAAATAATAGTGTCCGTTACTTTGTAATTCTGGAAATTGCAAATTAAAACCATAGATCTCATTCAAGAAATGGAAATAAAACTATTGAAAATACAGGTTTGCGACCTCAACAATTTCCAGTTAAATACGATGGCAAATACATAAAAGCATGAGCTATAAACAGTTTATAGAAATAATTTCTGTATAGAACCGAATCGGTATTATGGGTGTAATTTGAGGTCTGTAGGTGACAAATATTCATACAAGAGGCCCATTTTCCACAACGCTCACCTGAGTAATTATGACCCCTCTGTTCTTCATCAGCAGATTTTTCCTATACATTCTTATGTAAAACTTTAATCACATATTATGGCCTTATTTCAGGGGGTCCATATTTAAACAAACTTCAATTTACATTACATGAGGATGCTTTCATTTGAATATGACTAACAATGACTTCGCTGAGAAGAAGATTTTAAAGATTTTCCTATGTATTCCTTTGTAAAACTTAGATTGTCCATTGTGGCACCAACCTACACCCGGGGGCCATGATTTGAACAAAATGAACAGGGTGAAGATAATGAACAGTGGTCGATCTTAAAAATCTACAACCAATACAAATTTGTAAACAGGGCTTAAAACACGGATCCCGAGAAATTCCAGAGGTTGGATCAGGTTTCAAGGAGGAGTAAGCATCCCCTGTTGACTCATCCTCCAAGAGCCCCTGATCCCTTCCGTGGCCCTGCCCTACCCCTAGGGGTCATGATTTGAACAAATTTGTATCTTCAATTCTACAATATATAATGAAGCTTTCACAAACGTTTTATCTCTTCTGGCCCAGTGGTTCTTGGGAAGAAGATTTTTAAAAGATGCCACAAAATTTTCACTAATTCTTAAGTGTCCCCCTTCAGAAGAGGGCGTGGCACTTCCTGTGACCAAACTTAAATTCCTTCACCAAGGATGCTTTGTGGCAAGTTTTGTTGAAATTGCCTCAGAGGTTTTGGAGTAGGAGTCGAAAATTTGGAACGTTTACAGATAATACATTACACGACAGACGGTCAGAAAGACACCGGACACTTTTTGATCAGAGAAGCTCACTTGTTCAGTTCAGGTAAGCTAAAAATCTTTGCTTTCGAACATGCTCATGTAATACATTTTATCTTGAGGTGCGCATGAATATTTTTTATATTTCCTTGTAAATGTTACGTTTTACGTATCTCAACTTATTTCTACATGTAACTTCATTTACATAATCAAATATGAGCAAAACTATGCTTATATCATATTATATGGCTATTCCAGGTATATTTTAATAGGATTACCGTCGGATGAGTTGTTTGCATCCCCTGTCAAATTCCCTATAAACCTCCATCTCTTTATCACAAAAAAGGATTTCTTTCACAAGTATTGTTTTCTGTGGTAACGAAAGTATTTTTTCTCCCCGTATGGTCGAAGTTTTTGTTCTTCTCAATGCTATGAAATTTACAAGATGAAATATCCGCCTAAATTAAAAACAAAGGATATGAATAAGAAACTCTCAAACCATCTCAAGTTCGAATTCCATCAAAATCATTATAATATCGTTTTGAAATTGCTTTATCAAAAAAAGCTGTCTGCCCTGCTTTCTTTTAAGGACTCTTTTTTAAAATATGTATTAAAGTAAGTATTTATGAATTTAATTTAATTTTTGTAACAGTCGAATGCGTAGCTTATAGATTTACAGAGATTTAATTCCATTTTTTATACAGAAATACCTTTTGGCATCTCCATCGCCAAAGACCAGGGGATCCACGATAATTTTCTTCCACTGATTCACATCAGTAAAGGTGTCTATTTTGAGAAAGGATATAAGAGACCATAGCTCTTCAATCTTGTTCTGAATTGGAGTACCTATAAAAACACCATTTTGTCAGAAAATTAACCTAATAACAGACAAGGTACACACTACAACTGTACAAATACGGCTACACAGTTATACTGGATCAAATTTTGACTTTTATTTCCCAAAACTGATTAACAAAAACCTTGTAAAGACTGTTAAGGAGGTCTGTAAATATTTCAACATCGTTGCAAAGATTTGTAGTTGGAAAATTAATTTATTTCACGAGTGAGACGGATTTTTATCATAATATTCTTGAGTTTTTAAGCCTAAAATTTTAAATACTTTTCCCCTTTAACGCCGGATACTTCGGATGAGACCTTAAAACCGAGGCCCCGTGTCAGGACAGACGTTGGCACGATAAAGAACCCTCACTGCTCTATGGCCTTGAGTGCCGAGTAAAAGTAAAAATTTGAAGCCCTTCACCGGTATATGGTGACGTCTCTATATGAATGAAAAATTCTCGAATGGGACGTACAACAACATACACTCAATCAATCCCTTTATCGCCTTGTAAAAGTTTGAATGATCTAGGTAAAAGAGTTAACATTGGTTGTTGTGACTGCATTGATTCATTCAGGATGTCTCAGTGTACACTACCTGTTAGAATCCATCTTCTTTGAGACTGGAGACTGTTGATAGCCTGGGTCTGTTTAGAGGATGGATTCTTTATTTTGTGTCCCTCATCTAACACCACACGGAACCATTTCACCTCTTGTAGAATGCGGCCCTTCTGTAAAGTTAATCATAAATCTAAAAGAATATCAACTGAAATAAGAATAATATATAATATAACTAGAAACTCATTGCGAGCAATGAGAGGTCTTCCGTCCAATTCTGAAAATAAAAACGAAAATTCAAGCTTAAAAAGTGATAAAAGAAATTCAGACATCCTGGAGATTTAACCCTGGTCGTCAGCGTGAAAATCCAACGTGCTAACCATTAACCATTCACCTTTTTGCATTACTTCCTGTCACGATCGGAAGTAACGGCGATACAAGATTTTCTCACGATTCAAATAAACTGATGACTGACTATCAGTCCTGAAAGTTTTAGACTTCAGTCCTTTATTGTGGCCGAGCAATATTGTTAGAACAAATTCTAATTTTGAGGACAGGTAAACACGCGACCGAAAGTGAATTTTATAAAATCTCTGACTTTTCTCTAGACATTTGCAGTATCTTCAACATACATAAAATTATTTCAAGTACTTTATCGATAAGCAATATTTATGAGAATGTTAAATATCAAAATAACGTAGTTTATCTCCTAAAACCAGAAGTTGACGTTTTTATTTCCGGTGGGACCAACATCTTTCGAATCTGAGAAAAAGATGCAATAAAGTGATGCAATTTTTAATTAAAAAAAGAAAAGTTGAAATTTTCGATTTCTTTGATCACTTCCTGTTACGACCGGAAGTGACGGCTGACGCTCTTAACCCAAATGGTTTTGCCTTCATCTTAAGGTCTGTTGTTCAAATAAGTTTGGTGTCTTAATCTCTCACCGTTTCCGAGATCTTGCTCAGACAACTTCTCATTTTGAGGACAGGAAAACACGCGACCCGGAGTGAATTTTACAAAGATATTTGATGTTACTCTAGACATTTGCAGTCTAAATAACATATTTAAAATTCATTTCAAATACTTTATCTACAAAGGATTTTGATGGGAAAGAAAAATATTCAAATTATGTAGTTTTTCTCTTATAACCGGAAGTTGTCGTTTTTATTTCCGGTGGGACCAACATCTTTCGAATCTGAGAAAAAGATGCAATAAAGTGATGCAATTTTTAATTAAAAAAAGAAAAGTTGAAATTTTCGATTTCTTTGATCACTTCCTGTTACGACCGGAAGTGACGGCTGGTGCTCTGAACCCAAATGGTTTTGCCTACATCTTAAGGTCTGTTGTTCAAATAAGTTTGGTGTCTTAATCTCTCACCGTTTCCGAGATCTTGCTCAGACAACTTCTCATTTTGAGGACAGGAAAACACGCGACCGGAAGTGAATTTTACAAAGATATTTGACGTTACTCTAGATATATGCAGTCTAAATAACATATTTAAAATTCATTTCAAATACTTTATCTACAAAGGATATTAATGGGAAAGAAAAATACTCAAATTATGTAGTTTTTCTCTTATAACCGGAAGCTGACGTTTTTGTTTCCGGTGGGACCAACATATTTCGAAACTACAAAAGAGATGCAATAATGTGATGTAAGTATTGATTTAAAAAAAGAAAGTTGAAATTTTACGATTTCTTTGATCACTTCCGTAATCGACCGGAAGTGCCGACGACGAACGAAAATGCGGTTCTGCAAATTTAGAAGTCACGTTCTATGCTCTCCAATAAGTCTCCAGTTCATATCATTAGCCATTCTTGAGAAAAAGGGGCGACAAAATTTCATTTTAAAATCAGGAAATTGCCCGAAACTTGGAACCAAAATGGAATTTTCCAAATTTTCCTTGTGATGAACAAAGTTCATACAATGACTGATTTTTCCTGAAAGTTTCATTGAAAACGACTGAATACTTTTCGAGAAATCGCGTGCACAAAATTTTGTCAAAAAAAAGAATAATAATAATAATAATAATAATAAGAAGAAGAAACAGTAGAATCACTATAAGGTCTTCCGTGAAGACGGAAGACCTTAATAAAAATATTAAATGAGAAAGTAAAAACAATCTAAAGGTGCATTACAATTGTTTATTGAACCCTCTTCAGGAAAGAAAATGCATAGCAATGTAAAATTAAACGTGCGATACTGAGAACCAGTGGTATGATATGCATATATATATATATATATATTGACTCGTTGTTAAAATTAAGAAACATTCAGCTCTTAATTTAATGATTACAGAATTATTGATGTTTCTTTGTGTTACTACGAATGGCTGTATATTTCTACCTTGGCGTCAATCCGCAGTGTATCGTACGACGTCAGTACAACATCGTTCTGAGTAAGTACTGACTCATCCTCCACTCTTTTCCTCCCATGGAAAGTGTACGTTTTCAGTGGGTATCTTTTGTCGACATGTTCTATAATCTGAGTCTGTATCAAGTACATGATTCAACATACAGACCAAAAACTAGTACAATACAGGGCTTTATTATCTAAACACGAAAATATTAACATTAATTTATCTTTTATAATAAAAAATACCAAAGGATATACTCAGTAAAATATCTTGACAGATAATATACTGCAGTTACCTCAATAACAAATCTATATAATAATTACAACTAAAGCAATTTGGCATTTTAAGAGAAACATTACCTAATCTGTAAGATTAAATATTTACTCATATCTTTTAATATGTTTTAACTGAAGTATTGACTTACTTCCCAGACATTTATGACAGAAACAGGGGCTACAATCAGTGTCGTCTTTGAAATTTTCTTCTTTTTCTTTGTCTTCTTCAAATTGGTACCTTCACGTGTGAAAATACTTGGTCAGGTAAAATATGATATTCATTGATCATAAAACAAACATTGCGTACAATGTAATCTTTAATATGATTTAAAATTATGAGGTTTGGATTGATTTCATAACAATTTAGGCAATACTTTGATAAATAAATTCTGGAAATATGTATTTTCTAGCTGGTCTAAAGTATATCAGAATGAAATTATTAATGACTTAACTCTCCAGCAAGAACTTGTTTGGTACAATCCAAAATTACTGCTAATAGCCGGTCATTTTTTATTAAAAGTTATTTTAGTTCCGGTTTGGTTCTTATTAATGATTTCCTTGATTCAAATAATAACTTTAACTTTTTATTCAAAATAACCTTAATGTGAAAACAAAGTATATCTCGAATATGCAGGAAAAGAATTGCTACAAGAAAGAGACTAGCCTGTTTTAGAGATTAAAAAACAATGCCACTTTCCGGACCATTTATTCCTGCCAGTCTTCTGATTATTTTTTAAGAGTAAAAAGGGGTGCTAAGAGATATATATAATCTTCTCATTAATAATAAAAGAGTGATATAAATTCAGTTAAAATATGGAGAAAAGAGGGAGAACAATTTTGTGAAGCATCTTGGGAAGAAGATATTTAAAATATTTGAGCTACCATTTAATACAACTCAAGAATCTAAATTTCAATGGTTACAATTTCAAATTTTACATAGAATAATACCTACTAAATGTTATCTTTACAAATAAAAGTAATTGATTAACCATCATGTTCCTTCTGTAAGATTGATATTGAAACTATAATTGATCATCTTTTTGTTGAATTCTTCTGTGTCAAAGAAATTTGGTTGGAAATTGAAGAATGGATCTTGAAGAAACTAAGCCAGTCTGTTTGTTTCGATATGAAATAATTCTTTTCGGTAAATTTACAAATAGAGGTCTATAAAAATTTCTAATTAAGACTAATAAACAGTACATTTTTTCAAGTTTAATTTCACAAAACCAACAAAATTAAGTGTTGAGGCTTTAAAATATGTACCTACTGTTAGAATTAGAGTTGAAAAATTTATACTGTTAAAAACTGTAATTCTGAGGAATTTAGAAGACACTGGCAGAAAATTGAAAAAAAAAGCTGTAAAAAGTCTAAATCATATTTTTTCTAATGAAAGTGTCCCCTTCTCTTTCTTTCCCAATCTCTAAAAATTAATTCACACATTTCTTGTCTTGTATATAATTGTGATTGTTTGTATTTGTGATAAGTGTGAATAAAGAATTGAAAAATATATGTGAAAAAATAAGTAAGATTATGAGGTTACCTTTCACATGTTTCTTCTTTTCTATCTTTTCTGTACTGTTTGTGAGAGAGAGCTGAAATTAAAGCATCACACGATCAAAACATCATCACAAAATAGGAAAACACTCAATACATGTACTAGTATTCTATCGTACCACCGTAGTACATTTTTCCCTGATTTTTTTTTTTACGAATAAACCTTTTTTCACAGGAAAAAAGGACTCAATGTAAAGACAAATACATACATATACAGAAAACGGGGTTTTGTTCACCATATCACAGATATATTACAAAGTAAATACATATAAAAATATCTATAGTACAAAAATCATTGTAAATAATATGAAAACAATTGTAGGAATTTGCAAAGCAATCAATAGTTCATCGTGGCATATGCACGCAAATGGTTAATTATATTTGACTGATGCTTTAGATGGAATCAATCATTATTATCAGAAGCTGATCACAAAAAAACTTCAAAGTGTAAGAAATAATCCTTTGATAGTTCGCAAGCTTATTTGCTACTTGTCAATCCACAAAAGAATGTCATTTTTTTTTAAATATTATAACTTAACATCCTGTATTTATGTAATAATTTTTATAATTATGACGGATACCTTTTAAAATAAAGATTATTTCCATATTGGCTTATAAAAAAGATTTTACCTGCGAATTTTCATCTTCGTCCTTTGGATCTATGTTTTCACATGGGTTATCCAAGTTTATGTTCAGTCCCTCTGTATCTGTAGATTCAATCCCGTCTTTCAACGTCTCTCCAGTGTCAGAGGCTGATTGTTTATTTTTCTGGAGGCTCTCTGAATCACTATTCATGTTTCCATCTTCTATCTTCTCTGCATTACATCTAAGTTCTCTCTTTTCATTTATCACATCAGTATCAGAGCCTACATCCCCAATTTTAGTCAACTCTTCAACGTCAGAGTGAAAGTCTGTATGTTCATTTGGCTTTTCAACATCAGAAGACTCTTTTGTATCAGTCCCTGGTTCCTCATTCTCTGGGGGAATGTCTTCATCTTTCGTTTCCTCAAGAATCATCTGAAATTCGTCTGTATCTGTAGACTCATTCCCATCCTCCAAGCTCCCTTTGTTATCAGAAGCTAATTGTTTATCTTTCTTCAGGTTTTCAGAAGTACTCATGTTTCCATCTTTTTTTGTCTTTTCTGTATCACAGTTAAAGTCTCCCTCTTCATTCATAAAACCGACATTGGAACTTAAATCTCTATGTATAGTCTGTTCATCTAAATCAGAGTGAATGTCTATATTTTCATCTGGATTTTCATTGTCAGAAATCTCTTCCATATTTGTTACTGTTTCTTCATTGTCTGATAGCATATCTTCATCTTTTACTTGCTCTTGTGGTTCACAATGCATGTTCTTTCTACTCTCCGGGTTTCCAGTGTCAGAAGATGTATGAACACCATTAGCTGTGTTTTCAATTTTAGATGGTATTTTGCCAGCATTCTTTGGATTTGTCACGATAAGAGAAATTACTGTTAAAGTTTTTCCTAGTCCCATCTCATCAGCTAGAATGCCTAATAATAATAATTTTTGTCAGATTCATGTGTATTAATGAACAGTTACTAGTATTTTCATATCATGTTTTCACTATTAGGGATATCATCTATTCATATACACATCTTTTTTAAATTCAAACATCTGTACTTTCAACAAAAGTCTCATTTTACGCCATGAATCTTTCTGTTTCTAAGACCTTTTTTGTTGTACATATGTCTTTTGAAGATTTCTTCAATAAATGATATACACAAACGTGTACAGCTACTACATAATATCTCTAAACATAATGGTATACATACATAAAATTTAGTAGAAAATCATCTATTCAAACAAAATATTTCATTGTTTCAAAATCGTTGACTCTATCTCACTTACCTCCCCTGATACTGCGAGGTTTCGTTGTTTGTTTGATTGATGTTATACTGTTACGATACAGTCCGTCTTTGAGATCCCAAAATGGCGGCAGTTGACTCCCATTCTCTTTCATGATCATCCAGTGAAGGGCTTGTTTCTGGTGCATATGCAGCGGTGTAACTATTTCCTAGTGGACAAAGCATATTAATGACAAGACAATTTCATTTCAATTATATATATATATATATATATATATATATATATATATATATATATATATATATATATATATATATATATATATATATATATATATATATATATATATATATATATATATATTAGGGATGTCAATTTTGTCAATAATTCATATTCGAATATTCAATGAAAGTATTCGAATATATTCGAATATTCGATAAACTAAATAAAATTTGTTGTTTTTTTAAATATACATCATCCTACTCTCACGATTGGTTTACGTAGGTATACTTATATTGGAAGTAAATTGTTTGAAGACTTTTGTAGTTGTACAATTAGAAATTCCATTTGCTATATAATTTTCTAATTTTAACAAATGAAACATATGTATTTATAGTAGCTCCAACTGAGGAATCAGTCGTCTTGCCAAAGGCAAGATATAGTAGTAACGGTATACTGTTCAGATTTCAATACAATTATCTGCCTAATAAGAGATACAATTATAATCTTTGATACAATGTTTTTTAAAATATAAACAAATATTTCCATAGACAATTTTCTTAAGTAATTAATTAATTTCCCGATAATGAATATAAAATTCAGGATTATATACAACCCAAGATATAATAATTTAATCTGAAATTGAGCCCTTTACAAAATTAATTACAGTGGACATTCATTTGAATGATCAATTAAATTTGTTTTGATAAGTATACTCTTCACGTCTTTTAGACATTCTAAGAAGGTTTTCATTTTGTTGTCCTCGATTCTAGACCCGATCGTATTTAAGTAATAAAAAACTATGAAAGTACGTTTTGTATTATACATAAAGCATTATTGTACAATTCTTTAACACCTTACTCAAAACAAAATCCATGTAATTTAGTAATTCTATAAGATAAGAAAGTAGTGAAAGAAATCAGGCGATCGAAATTGATCGCTAGTAAATTAGACAGGGATAATTCCAGCACTGCTCTAATCAAAATTATTTATGAAATCTGAAAAACACCGAATATTCGAATCTAAAATTCATATTCGAATATCAACTCATCGAATGAATATTCGAATGTTCGAATATTCGTTGCCATCCCTAATATATATATATATATATATATATATATATATATATATATATATATATATATATATATATATATATATATATATATATACACGAACAATAGATATATTTAAAGTTTTTGATTTAATACTCCTTAACAAATAAAACCTTTGATGGTTCTGAAGGGGTCATTTTATCTTCTTCCGCCAAATTTTCAAAAAGTGTGTTAATGGCGTCCGCTTCCTATAGAAAATAAAGTTTAAATAATGAGAACATCCATAAATTAACTATTTATGAGAAAAACAATATTTTAATACTATATTGCCATTAAACTAAAGTTTTTTGGCATAAGATTTTAAGAAAAACTGGTTAAGGCCTCAAATGTCGCTATGGTGAACTTTAGATACACAATAATGAATCAGAAAGGAACCCAAGAAAATTATTAACTTACCTCTTTCATGTTTAAAAATTGGTTCTCGTTAAAAAATATGCCCTCAAATTTTTCGTTTATATCGAGGGCGACCATGATGTCTTCTTGTGATTCAGAGGGACAGATATCAATATTCAGTGGCACCTTAATGTCAATCAATTTTTTCAAAGTGGGTAATTTGTAACCTTCCTTCCCAAATATTTTGAGGTAAATAGCAATGCTGTTGAGGAGAGCATCCTGACTTCCATGTATAGCGGTTCTGAATTAAATATAAGGGATTAAACGTGCCAATAACAGGTAAAATGCAAGATATGTTTACAATATACACGTAAAATAAGCAACATACTAGCATATTTGGCTCATAGTACAACAATGTTTAACAAAGCTCATAGCTCAACAATGTGTGACAAAGTTTAGCAATTCATTCACCATTTCTTTTAGGTATGTTTGAAACCCATGTTGAAAGATCTAAAAATTTAATGGATAAAATGTTCACAGGAATATTCATATAAGAGACATAAACACGCATGTTTAATAAATCTGTTGTTCTTTCAATGGTACTTTTTTAAGCATATGTTGATCAAACATTATGAATGTTGTTTGATTTTTTTATTCTTAACTTATATTGAACCAAAGAAAAAACGTACCCCTCTATTCCTATGACCTTTTTGTCTCTTAATGGTGAGATAACACCTGAAACATCAGATTTCAGATATCCTACTTCAACGCCAAAACGATTTGTTGCCACCATACAAGTTTTGCTCGAGCCATCCTTAATAATATAAACTTCTTCTCCTGATTCAACCTACAGAAAATAAAGTCAAAATTTATTTAACAACAGGTTGATTGTCCGAACCGCATATTTCGCTTTCTGACAGGTGAATATGTAGATAATGATACTCAAAATGTGATCATAGATTTGTTCCTTTATATACTCCCATAATACCACTAGAGTACCTTGGCTATTGACTCCTATATTGTGGGGATGCCTGAATCAAATTTGACTTGTTAATGGGTAAGAATTCTAGTAAATGTCCCTTACATATTCTTTTGGGAAACTGACACATCGTACTAGGGGCCATTTTTTGAAAAATATCCAAGTACAACAGGGTGATGTCTGTAAACCAATTAAAAATCATTGTGACCCTGTTTAATTTGAGGTGGTTTGATTTTTTCTTCTAAAGATTCTGTTCAGATATTCCTGTGTAAATTTTGAGCCTTTATATATATATATATATATATATATATATATATATATATATATATATATATATATATATATATATAATCTAAATGTCAAATGTCTCATCCTAGTTTTGCTCTTGGATAATTATCTTTCCTCAGAAGAGGGAGTGATTTTTCTTCTTCTTTTTTAAACTAATAAATATGAATTACTTATATTCAAGAATGTTTTTAAAAATTGGGTTGGATGGAAAGACAGATGGACGTCAGGCATGTTAAAATCAAAATACTATGTCCTTACCAAGTTTTTTTTTTCGCAAGGGTGAGTTAAATAACACTAGAAATTGGTTTTCGCAAGTTATTCGAATTCAGGGATGTAAGAAGCACTTTGTCTTAATTACCTGTCCACGGAAGTTATTCAAGCCAACGATTACCACCCGTGCTGTGCAATATCGTATAAAGTCCTGATTTGGTATATGAGTTTCTTTAATATCCTCTGGAAGATCTGGATCCAAATTGATATATGGTAAAACGTCGGCGTTAAAATCATTTTCATGTATTCTTCTCCTTTTCTTTGGTGGCTGGAATGCACAGATCATTTCTATTAACAATCATTAATTAATAATAAAGATTATTACAGAAGAAACCTGTAGAAGCCGATAGAAAAAGTTTATGGCTAACCACAGTTTCCAGAACTAGAAATTGGCACATCTGTCTTGTTCATTGAATGAAATATATGGAGATAACGAACAGTATTCAAGCTCAAAAGTCCATTAAACAATACAAAATAGGAGCAGAGCAATCACGGATCTCCAAACATCAGAGGTGGGATCAGGTGCCATGGACGAGTGAGCATCCCTTGTCGACCGGTCACACCCGCCATGTGCTCCTTGTCATGATCGGGAAATAACGAAAAAATCCGTCGACAATTCAATGTGTAAATAATGGCCTAACAATTAGTATGAAAAACGGCAGTCAGCATTTGACTCAATGATAAATTGTATTTGTTGACAAGGTCATTGTATCGACCATAGAACTTACGAAATGGTGACTTTAAACGAGACAGCTGATATTCTTGTTTCATCAACTTGTTTGTCAATAATTTAACTCGTTTTTGAAATTGTACATACCTAGAGCATGCTCTTGCGTATCGAAACAGCTGAGAAATATATACCCCGTATGCAGGCGATGAAGGTATACTGCTGCATAAGTAAGGGAAGTTGACGATTGAAAAGTTAAGTCATCACGTTTATCATAAAGCTTGGTTGTTAGATTATCATTAACGTCTTTTTCAAGTAAAATATCAAAATATGAAACATATGTGTCAGACTCTGTGGTATCTTTTATCTCAAGCTCACTGGGATATATCGTATCGACATAAGAATGGAAATAGCCATTGTTAATTGACAATACATCGTCGATATATCTAAATGTCGAGTTGAAGGCCACAGCAAGTGTTTTCTTCTTTTCACGTATAAGATTTTGAACAAATTCTGCTTCATATGAATACAAAAAAGGTCTGCTAATAACGGGGCGCAATTGGTACCCATGGGAATTCCAATAGATTGTTGGAAGATCTGGTCTCCAAAAACCACATAGATATTGTCAATCAGAAATTCAAGCATCTTTTTAATGTCAACTTCAGAGTAATTGTGTGTACAATCAGAATGTTTTTTAACAAAATAATTTTGCAATCTTTTTAATGTCAACTTCAGAGTAATTGTGTGTACAATCAGAATGTTTAACAAAATAATTTTGCAAATGACCAATGACAAGGTAGGTAAATTTACGAGTTCCATTTTTATTGAAAAAGCAGCTGTCAATGATATCAAAAAGCCTGGACTTTAATTTATCGTGGGGAATGGTTGTGTATAAAGTTAAAAAGTCGTAAGTTTTTAAGCTATTGGTTTTGGTAAAATCTTGTGATTTCAAATTTTCAAAAAGTTCCTTGGATTTTTTAAGTATCCACATCTGATTTACACGACTTCTCGAATATATTGTTGCACAGTACACTTGAAGTTTCTCCTTCACTACTTATAGCTTGTAGAATTATGGTTTAAATCTTCATTAAAACTCGTATTAGATTTATCAACGAACAACTTTTCCTTTGAGAATCACCAGATTTATCTCAAAAGAAAAAATATTCTTATTATATTTAAAAAAAAAAATAATAATAGAATAAAATTTAATTTTGTGACTCGTGTTATTCACAGGTCAAAGGTGTGATTTTGGAGCAAAGAAGGGTTTATTCTACAAGCTGACACAAAGTACAGGACCTATTTATCAATGATACAGATGGATATTTTTAAAGGTCGACAATTGAACTCCTGAGGTAAGAGTCTTAATCTGCACAAAAAGTCTTATAGTATAGAGCTTTTAAAGTAAAATTTTCACTACATTAAAGGAGTTCCTAGATTTCATCATAACGACTTGAAAATAAATTTTTTCATCATTATATATTTTTAACATTTCAGTATTAAATACCAGATTTTTATCGTGCTCTTCATCATCGTGGAAAGAACTTGGTGGTGTTATTCTATCACGGTCATAAGAACTTGGTGGTGTCATTCTATCAAGATGATTAGAACTTAGCGGTGTTATTCTATCACTGTGGTGAGAACTTGGCGGTGTTATTCTATCACTGTGTTGAGAACTTGGCGGTGTTATTCTATCAAGATGATTAGAACTTGGCGGTGTTATTATATAACTGTGTTGAGAACTTGTTGGTGTTATTCTATCACTGTGTTGAGAACTTGGTGGTGTTATTCTATCATTGTGGTGAGAACTTGTTGGTGTTATTCTATCACTGTGGTGAGAACTTAATGGTGTTAAACTGATCTCTCTGAGAGCTCTGATTGCGTCTGTGTTGAAATCCGGTACTGTCAATGGAATACTATACAGAGTTTCCTATGAAGAAATTTGTTCCATGATCTTTGAATCAATGTAAATACAGAAATTAGTAATCTTGACAATAAAAACTTCAGACCTATTTACCGTATTCAAATTCATTTCCTGATTGCTGACGCCATAAATAGGTATTTCCGCTGGACCAGAGTTCAATGGTCCGTGTCGATAAGTCTCCGTGAGCATGAAATGATTTTCCATGCGAGGTGCACTCTGTAAAGTACACAATAATTATGCTTAGTATCCATTTAAACTTTTGAGATCTATTATGCAATATTTTTATGACTTGGATTTCTAAGAACTAGACACAGGTAATTTAAAGGCCCCTTTATAGTCACCTGTTAAATAAACATATAAGAGGATGCTCTTTAACTTTGAGTGTAATTAAATATGTGCCATTGTCATCGAATTATAATTAACACATGAGTCAACTAAAATTTTAAATTGCGTGTAGATATAAACATTGTATCCTTATAAGGCATGATATGGAATGCTCTTTTTTTTCTTAAGAGGAAACATAATGCTCAAATTACTAAGAATTGTTTATTTATTTTTAACATTCTAAAGAAAAATCTGTGTATATTTTTTCATTACCAAATTCAGTGGTTCGTCTTGTCCGGCAGAAAAATAACCCTGATTCATTGCCCAGGTGTCACCCCAAGGGTCCTGGAATCCTATCTAGTTCACAGGAATTACAAAACATTATTGTAGTTATTACAGTAACATAGCAACATACTATGATTAGTAACTAATCATGATGTGAAAATTTTCATTAAAAAAAACACCACATGCTATGAATATTTGAAATTCGCCATAATAAAAATCTTAAATATTTCAATTCAACTAAGTTACTCTGTTTATTTTAATGAATTAAATTTAATTTACTGATTATATATATATATATATATATATATATATATATATATATATATATATATATATATATATATATATATATATATATATATATATATATATATATATATATATATATACAGGGTGTCCCAGAATATATGATACCATTTCAAGATTCTGTAAAACCCTATGTAATGAATATTGAATTACAACAAATGCATTAAAAACAATGCATATACTGTCCAATTTTATTCACATAATTTGGTAGTCATTAAAACGAAAACAACAAAATGAGTACACGTTGAAAAATGCTATGGTTTTTACATGATGCCCTCTTCAAGATGACGTTCTATCTGTGTAATGATAATGTCTAGACACTGCACAATATTCCTTAACTTGAGACAACAGTGCCTGTCTCGGTTGTAACTTCTGGATTTTCATCAGAGGTAAACGTTTTATATATGTTAAGGATTCTGGTTTGGGTTTAGCAGCAGTAACCTAAGACTAGGATTGATAATTATAGTTTTAAAATGAGGGTAGCAAGCTTTTTTGATGATCCATTTTGATTGAAATTGCAGTTATTTGCAAAAGTTTGATGTAAAATTGTTACGTTGCAATTTCATCAGTGTGGGAATTTTTTTTGGAATATTTTGTTGTAAAAAAAATTGTACTTATTTAAATATTTTTTGAGACATATATCAAGGAAATTGGCCAAGGGATGTGTTTGTGGCAGGTATTTCAAATGGTATCATATATTTTGGGACACCCTGTATATGTCTCTATTCTTTTGGTGGGTGCAGGATATTACCTCTGCGAAGCATGTTAAAATTCATTAAAACAAATATAATTTCTATCTGTAAAAAGCAGCTGTTCTATTTCCTTAATAAGTAATATTAAAAAAAAATTATATACCTCGTCCATGTGTTTATGCAGTGTTAGATATTTCCCTCGTCAATGTTTGAGTACATGGACGTAATGATATCTGTATCTTGAAAGAATTGAAAAAAAAATAAATTCCACTAGATTTACTTTTAAAAGTAGATTACATTTTCTAGTATGAAATAAATAAAAGAGTATTATAAAGTCGCCTGATGTATTTATTGTTTTTTAAAGAATATTTTGAAAATTTCTGAAACATGTTTCAATATTTTGTACCAATGGAACAAATATAAAGGTAGGGAATTGTTCTTACTTATAAAGCTCTTTTACCTAAATAACCAAAAGTAGATTACAAATTTCAACTTTTCCTTTCGGACTATTTGTGATTATTATTACATGTATTTGGGATGTCATCTGTTTGTTTGTTTATTTGTTGTAACAGTTTTTTTTTTCTTTTTTAGGGGGATTTTTGTTTTGTTTTGATTTTTGGTTTGTGTTGGGGGGTGGGGGTTGTAAAAAAGTGAAAATTTTCACAATGGCCCGGATTTCATATTACTTTAAAAACATTCCTTTTGACACGAATACAAGTCTGATGTAATTAACTATATTTTCTATTAATATACGACTTAATAATTTACAAATCAAATTTATTGATGAAGAAATATTGCGAATACATTTATAGATCATAAAATATATCAGTCATTCTTACTATCACATTTATCGTTACTCTACAGAAAACAATGCTGAGTAGCAAACACATGATTCAGTTGCAATACATAGACACTCAAATAACTACACGTCATTTAAATACTTGGAATAATCATGAGTTATTACTGATATAGATTAATGCGTACAAATCAATTAAAAATAAAGTTGTTTTATTTAGTTATCCATATTCTTTATGTAGAATTTTCATCAGATGAAATATGTTATGATCTACACATAAATATTCATCATTTAAAGTGAAAAATCGATAACTTTAAAAAGTTCACACGAGATTACTGATATCTATTTATAGACTTCCTGGTATAACAGAAATATGTTAAATTTAAAAACACAACTGTCTCCCCTTTGATTGAAAATTAATTTTGTCAGTATATTGTTCCAAGCTGCAACGATAGGAAATTATATACAAAAAAATATTATCGGATAAAGGAATATATAAAAGGACATGTACTCACCGGCGAAGAAGAAACTCCGTAACATTATACTTCCCTGAATGTTTAAAGACTCACGACTTATACCTTTATAAAGCTTTAAGTATTAGAGGAAAATGATAAAACGTTCACATGATTGAAATCTTACGTACTTACATTTAATGTACTTCTTTAAAATACTTCTATACCACATGACTAGGAATTTAAAATAAGCTTGTATGTCATAAAACTACCTCCTTTCGGTTTCGGACAACAATTTAAAGATCAGTGTTTTTGTTTGTTTGTTTTTTTTTTTTTTTTCTTCCTCTTCTTCTACGAAATGAGATTTTCTATGAAGGACTAATCGTGGTTTGATCATATTAAATAAACATAAATTCAAGGACAACATACGTACCGCCGAGTTAGACTCACTCAAAAAACTTCAACACAATTTCAATGTCCATCACGAATGTCATTTATTAATTTTCAGTTTAAATTTGAAAATGATTAGATGACAATGATGTTTCCATCACTTTATTAAACAATGCCTTTTCTTGGTCTCAGAATTAAAGAGAAATTACTCATTAAAATGAAATAGCTAATCCATAATTCTATTGTTGAACAATATAATATTTTAACTAAATGCTGTCATAATACAGTAATACCTGAACATATATTTCTGAATATGCTCCTCTTCATATTTGGGTTACAGAGAAGATGCCAAAATAATTTCACAATTTCTTCAAAACTTGTATGTATGAAATATGTAAAAATACCCAGGTGAGACTGTGGCATATCGGTCTTTTATATATATAAGTAATTGATATTATTAATTCATTACTAGTCTGAAATTACTGAATTTAATGAAGTAAATTCTGCTTAAAAGGGAGTTTTTGAAAGAAGGGTTTATGACTTTTAAACAATTTTGGGGGATAAATGTTTGGCCCATGATTGGAACCTGATAAATTGTTGTCTACACAATGCATATACTTGTAATTATTTTATTGCATTGCAATTTCGATGAACTTTAAAGTTTTAGAAACCACAATGACAGCTTTCAAAAATGTTATCAGTAATTGGGCGGGGGAAACCCTTTTCCAGATGTATGCATCAACTTTCCCCAAATCAACCCCAACCCCAATTCACCTGTTTTCCCATTGTTCTGGATGAATTGTCAGAAACTTGCTGCAAAACTGTTCTTTTCACTTCCTTAGACAAATCTCCACTTACTGTATCAATTGCTGAAACAACACATTTTCTGTTAGAAGCAGCCTTTTCAAATGCCTCCATGTTGTGGCTCGTACTACTATGACCGTACTCATTGGGTTGCAAGTGGTGTATGGTACATAGTATACATGCTGGGTTATTTTTTGTGATGTTGGACCGGTTGGAATTCATTACATAGTTTAATTTAGATAATTTATCACTATGATCTTTAATTAAAATTCAAAATCACGAAACCATCATTATATCGTGACATATTAAATGGTATATGGGGTCAAGATTCCCCCAAAGTCATCCCCACCTCCTAAAACTGGAAATAATCATATATTATATAAAATGTCGTTTTTTTAACCTTCAAAAGGCCTCTAGGGTGAAAATGAAAATTTCAAAACCTTATTGCACATCTACAGAACGCTCCCAATTATAATTATTCCAAAGGACGATTTGGCTACTGCCAAAAATCCAGGTTTTTATAGAAAAAATGTTTTCAGTCGCCCCCAAGCCGAAAATTGCAATTGAAATTCCAAAACTTTATTGCACAGGTGCAGGGCACTTCCAATCATATTCAAAAATACTGTGTAAAATGTAGATTTCAGGGAACCAGGTTTTGTAGGAAAAAACGTCATTTTTGCCCCCCAATAGCCCCAATGGTGAAAATAAAAATAGTAGCCTTATTGCATATCAACAGGACACCCCAATCATATTTCAAAACACGAATGGACCTCTGCAAAAGATTTTTAGAGGCGTTCAGGGAATAAAGTTTTGTAGACAAAAGTTGTTTATTGACCCTCAGTCGCCACCAGGGTGTAAATGAAAATTCCGAAACCTTATTGCACATCTACAGGACACTCTTAATCATATTTCAAATATGAATGGGCTACTGCAAAAATGTGAGAGGAGTTAGAGGAATGAGGTTTTTACCCCCCAAAAAATCGGTTTTAGGCCCCCAATAATCCCCCAGGGTGAAAACTTTATTGCATATCTACAGGACACTCTCATACATATTCCAAAAGATGAATGCTGCTGCAAAAATGTAACAGAAGTTCAGGAAACCAGGTTTTTGTGGAAAGACGTCTTTTTTTAACTTTCAATCGCCCCAAGAATTGAAAATTGACATTCCGAATTTTTATTGTACATGACACTCCTAATCATATTCTAAATTATAATTAGATGAATATAAATGTATTTGTTAAGAGAATTTGCAATCATATCCGCACTTTATAACGAAAGTTCGGGTATATTATACTTTTGTTATACTGGTCCGTCTGTCACACTTTCTTCTTCCTGTAATCCCTCTCACATTTTAAGCAGTAAGCAATCCATATTTTGGGATATTAGGTGGGTGTCTTCTAGATATGCAATAAGATTTCGGAATGTTCATTTTCACCCTAGGTGCCAAAGGGGGATCGAAGAATGACGTTTTCAACTTCCAATTTGGGCCGATTTTTCTTTTTTTTCCCCTTTACAGAAAAAAAACATTTTTCTGAAATTAACTCTTTTAAAATCAGAATTTACTTCATTACAATCTTTCATTATAGACCGGTAATGAATTTATTATTTGAAATACTAACATAAGAGAGGGACGTAGAGACCGGCCCTTTGGATGAGACCGTATAAACCGAGGTCCCGTGTTGCAGTAGGTGCTGGCACGAAAAAGATCCCTCACTGCTCAATGGTCCTGAGTGCCGAGTATAGGTCAGGATATGCAGCACTCCACCGGCAAGTGGTGGCGTCTCCACATGAGTGAAAAATGCTCGAGAGGGACGTTAAACAACAAATAAACAAAACTAACATAAGAGGCCCGTGGTCATATGTTCACCTGTGCATTTTTTGCTCAATGTCATGCATATATACATATTTTATGTAAATTTTAGAATGACGTGGTTTTTTTGCTCCCCAAGTAAAAAGGAGCTAATGTACATTTACTGCGGGTACTACTGCCTTATTAGAGCATCTAGTTTTGTTCTCCTGACAACCTGATACTTCAAATTTCTTATTTAGACAGAATTCTAAGTAAAACAATTACATTCATACATTACTAATAGAAAATCGGGGAATGTACTGTTCGTATCCGGTAAGTTAACCAGGAGGAGTAACTTTTGAAATAGCAATTAGATTATTCTACTTCCACTCGGTTATAACAGTCATAGAAAATAAATTATACTTTAGAAGAAGAATTATGCAACAGTCTCGTTTGAAGTCATCATTTCGCAAGTTTCATAGTCGATACAATGGCCTTGTCAGCAAAAACAACCTATCATTTAGCCAAATGCTGACTGACATTTTTCATACCAATTGTTAGGTCATTATTTACACACTGAAATGTCTACGGATTTTTTCGGGGGTTTTTTCCCGATCAGGACAAGGAGCACACGGCGACAGGAGATGCTCACTCCTCCATGGCACCTGATTCCACCTCTGATGGTTTTGGTGGTTTGTGTTTGCTTTGCTCCCGATTTGTGATGTTTTAATGGACTTTGAGCTTGAATACTGCTCGTTATCTCCATATTTCATTTCTGTGGCCTTCAACTCTACTAAATAGTAGAAAAGTCATATGAAGTGATACTATTAATTTCGGGGGAAAACATTTTGAATTTTAATTTTCTAATTTTTTTTTATTTTTCAGAATATTCATTTGATTTACACCAATTCTTGAATATGTTGTAGCACGGTACGTCTGAAGTTTCTCCTTCATAGCATTTAATATTTTGTGAGGAGTAAAGATAGAGGGTCTGTAGAACATTAACCGAATCATACATCTTATCTCTGTGTGAAAGGATTTTTATGAAGCTTTGGAACCCAGCTTCCGTTGACTGTAATGTTAAAAGTATTAACTGAAACGTGATTTTGAAGAATATTCCCCAATGGAAGGGAATTGTGAGGGGAGGTTGGATTACCAGATGGAAATTTAAAGCCAAGTTCTGTAATACTGAGCCTCACAAACATACTATTTTATGGATACATGTGTCTAATAAAGCAGAGCTCTGTTTGACACATAATACATGTACATGAAAAACACCATGCTGGAATCGAATGCTATTTGTTAATGAATATTGTACAACGCAACTAAAATATATTAACACATAATATACAAAGCCGAATTCATGTAGAAATATAAGGAAATTATATATATATATATATATATATATATATATATATATATATATATATATATATATATATATATATATATATATATATATATATATATATAAACCATGTAGCAATCGTAAAATAAATTTACAGTATTATGCAATGAGACTTCGCATGGTATAATAAATGTACAAGTATTTCATATGCAGATCGTGTCACAGGACAACCTCCACTACATGTAAATAATCATTATTTGATGGGATGGAGAACATTCACCTGCACGTGACCTTCCAGGTGAATATAAGAATTTATTTTTCTCCACATTAGACTAAAAATAAATTGGGAAATTCCAAATTAATACAAATAGTTTTGGAAAGTTATTTCACTTGCACCTGACTTCCACTCATATGGACATAACATTAAGGCACATAGATTCTTGGGTGAGGGGTGGGTGTGGGGTTGCAGGAGTCTTTGCCCTCTCTCCACCTTTGAGAATTTTTTCATAAAGTTTTAATTTAAATTTTAACGATAAAAAATTTCAATGAATGCCCCCTCCCCTCGTTTATGGACCTTAACATCCCACCAAATAAATTTTTGAGTTAGAATTCTTTTCTCTTTTTTTTTTTGGGGGGGGGGGGGGAGGGGGGGTAGTCAAAGATCTGTTTTCAGGTAAGTTGTCATTTTTCCCCCCTTATAATGCCCCCTTTTCCAAAATCAATCCTATAGATGTGCTTTAGATTTATTTTTTCTACATTGTACCTAAAGTACAATTAAACATTCCAAAATAATACAACTGGCTATGTTTTTTGAATTCCGTTTCTCTCATTATGTTTGGCCAGTAAGATGACATGGATTGCTTAATTAGTGTAAGTCATTTAACCATTGAACCATATAATAATAAACAATAATTGCTGTTTTTTCGGTCAATACGATGATTTAACCACCTTCGAAGTACAATATTGTACTTCTCAGGTGTCTAAATCACCGTATTGACCTCAAAAACCAGCAATAATTGTGTATTATCTCCATTATGATTATTATAGAAGAAAAAAAGGATCTTTATTTTATAACTCATATTTTCATCTTTATGTCAACCAACAAAGAATTATATATTTGATTCAAGGTACGCATTTATTTCACATTTGTTAGGTGCCTTTTTGTTTTATAAATAGTCTTTTGGATTTTACAGACAACTTTTGGTAGACTTTTGACAAGTGTCTTAAGAAATGGTCCTCGTGTCGTACGGACATGTTTTGGGGGGTACATGCGTTGGAACACTGAAGTTCACTTACTTTAACACTGAAAATACAAATGAAATTTCAGGGGAAAAATTTCAAAATGAGGCATGATTTCAACCCAATCACAATATTATTGGATTTGAAAGGATAGACTGGAATGAAGTGTTTAGATTATCTATTACGCTAAATCAAATAAAAAAAATCATTGTTAAAGGGGAAACAGCCGCATTTACTGCATTGTCTTTAACCCTGATAAACTGGTTAAGAAGGTCTACAGGTATGTAGTGGGTAAAAAAAACTTTATATATGTAATTCTAAGACTATTGAAGGGCGTAATAAAATACAAGTCATGTTAAAAATAACATAGAACAGCCAGAAATGTCATATAGCCTGAAAACGTATTGCTGCCACTGTATACAGACACAATGTCTTTACGCTTCTTCTGCATTTTTCCCCTCATTTTGCATTGAATAAAGAACACTCAGAGGATCACTAGTAGATAATTTCGTATCACTTTGCTCATACTCTTAGTATGGATATGAATATATTGAATCATCTTTTTAGATTTTTTTTCATTTCCAACATAGCCCACACATAAAAATAGGAAAAACTACCATTGCAGTTGGAATCAAAGTATGGTTTATTATCGTAAAAAATAAATATCACTATCCATGCCTTACTTTCGAATATCTCACATATTTTCACTCGAAAAAAAACCCACTGTCTTCAAAGATCAAACAGGGTCCTTAATTCATGAATATTTAGTCTGGTGGAATTTTTCTTGAAGTTAAACGCACAGTCTGCCAACTTTCTTTTTTGTTCTTGAAGAGCTATAATTCTCTCCTCTATGGAATCTTTGACCACATACTGCAAAAAGAACCACATAAGTAAAGAATAAACTGAACTTACAGACGATAATTTATTTCCCACTTCTCTTACAACTTTGCCACTAGCAGTACAGATATATACAATTCTCACATAGGATTACAGCAATTTCTAAATGGAGACAAGCTATTGAGAAAAAAATGATGAAATAAGAATATCAGCAGTCTAGTTGAAAGTCAACATTTCTCAAATTCTATGTTTGATACAATGACCTTGTCAGCAAATACAATCTATCATTATGTCGAATGTTGACTGATACTTTTCATATAAACTGTTTAGCCATTATTTTCACACTGAATTGTCTAGGGATTTTTCCATCAGCCAGATCATGACAAGGAGCACACGGTGGGTATGACCGGTCGACAGGAGGATGCTTTCTCTTCCATGGCACCTGATCCCACCTTTGATGTTTTCAGAGGTCCTGATTACTGTTCGTTATCTTCATATTTCATTATAAAGCTTACCTTTGTAATCAAGACGTCTTTGGTCTGTCCAAATCTATGACATCTATCAAAGCACTGTTCTTCTGCGGCAGGATTCCAGTGCTAATAATAAATAAATCAATATCCGTTCTTTAAAATCTAAAATAGGCAATTAAACTCATTATATCTTTGGAAGGGTAAAATCAATTTTTGTTTTTAAATCAAAATTATTTTAATGCAGTACTGACGATGTTTTATCTAACTAACATTAGTTGTTTTCATTCGTATGTCGACTCGGTACATTGAATTGGACTTCAAATAACTCACCCAACAGAGGCTGCTTCACCGTTTGATATCTGACTTGAGACTTAACTGGCCAACTAAACTATATGACAAAAGGGGATGACTCCAACTTTTCTTTCATCATTTTTATTTATGTAGTAATATTCAAATGTCACCTGCATATGGTGTTTATGTTTCACAACTGACTCGATACTTCAAGAGTATGTTCTGAGTTCAATCATGTTGAGCCAGAGACAGTTCACTGTCAAATACTAGTAAGTTGAACTATCTCGTATAAATGAGTATTATAATTTAAAAAATAATAATAAATGGATATATGGTTGTTCATGTTCGGACTGTAATGGAAACATCCACCATTTGCATTTTTGATTTTGCATTGATTAAGAGTTATAGGCAGTTGGCAGTTGTTCGTGCCTGACAAAAGACTACTTTTAATAAGTTCAACATCACAAGCACCACAATTTCCAAGTATCTCTTCATAAACATACCAAAAAGGGTCGCCGAAATATCAAAAATACCAGGCAACAGTGGAATGCTATGGCTAAACCTTAAGTATAATATGAATAAAATCTTACAGTAAAATGAATTCCAGCTTATCATTTATAAACAACATTAAATCGTAAAAATAGTTATTTCTTAAATATCTATAACAATGTAAAATCGGGCGTTTTTACAGAAATCGCAGGAAGCGTCGATTGGTATTTAGTGTTTACAACTAAATATCTACATGCAAGATAGTGAACGTGTTGACTTACATTTATTGATCATTTTGTTAAGCTATTTCGTACAAAATAATAGAACACCCAGTACTTACAGCAAGAAATTTATTTTCTTTTAATATAAAACAATCTATATTCATTTTCGTCTCCCGCGTGGCGCAGTGATTAGAGCGTTTGCTCTAGAGTCGCGGAGTAAGGAGTTGATCTTTACGTCCCGTGTTCGAATGCCATTGCAGGACGTGGAGACCGGTCCTTCGGATAAGACCGTTTAAACCGAGGTTCTGTGTCGCAATAGGTCGTTAGGGAAAAAGATCCCTAACTACTCAAAGACTGAAAGTGCCGAGGACATGCAGGTCTAAATTTGCAGCCCTCCACCGGCAAGTGGTGGCGTCTCAAAAAGAGTAAAAATACTTCAAGGGACATTAAACAAACAAACATATTCATTTCTCCGTGTGGCATTTGATCATTTTATGACTCAAAGATATGTGTACTTGTAATGGACTGCGATCATTCTTTTACGCACATGATGCAATTCAGGAAATTTAAAGGATTTACCGGCATTATGATTATTTCTTCCATTTAAAAACCAGCAGAATTTTTTTTTTTGATAAATAAATCAACAATTTTCAAAATCATTTCAAAGCATTTTTTAAACATAAAACACAATTAGAATCGAGACGATGTTGTCACTTTATTTAAAATTTTAATCAACACAATTTCGCTTAAAATCCGAGGTAAAATTAAATATCATAATTTACAATTAATCGCACAGTTTTCTTTCTACTCCTTCGAAGGGGTCGCGCAGATCATGGCGTAAAATTCCCTCTTGAAAAGTGTCTATTGCAAGATTCAAATTTTAGACCTTAATAAGTGCACTAAATTGCCAATAATTTGTTATATTCATAGTCTACCCGATTAGAACGAATGGATTCATGGCGAAAATTCAAAACTTTTATTTTTATGATAAAAGTCCTTCACAGTCAGCAATTCGCAAATTCTTTGGTCGTTAAAAGGATCTTGTTTGCAAATACAACCCTTCAGCGGGTCGTTTTTTGTATGACATGTTCCTACCAATTGTTATACCATTGTTTTAAAACATTTTCACTACAGATAACCGTTTACATCATCAAAACCGAGGGCTCACGGCGTGTGTGACCAGTGAACAGGGGATGCTTACTTCTCCTAGGCACCTGATCCAACCTGTGGTGTTTCTAGAGGTCCGTGTATTCGCCGTTTACGATTCACTGGATTTATTTGATTGATCAATGATCTTTATCTTCACCTTTTCAACATTCAGCTTAGCGTCAGAGTACATAAAGATTATTATTGAATAGCAAAGAATTTTGTCAATTCGTTACCGGTGTTAGAAGAAAGATTCTTGCTGCTGCTACAAGACTGATGCCCTCTCCTCCAGCTTTCAAAGAAAGCAACATCACTGTTGGAGAGTTTTCGTTTCGGCTTGAAAATACCTCAATTACACGTGCCCTTGCCTTCTGTGTCATTGTGCCATCAAAACGAACAAAGTTGAAGTTCAAATTTCTACAGCAAAGATTATATTTACTTATCACATGTTACTTAGAAAAACTATTATACTAGTATTAAAAATATATCAATTTGAAGACACTAAGGTAAAATTCAAATACGCCCAAATACCTCAGAGGCGGTTCGAGAAGATCCAGGAGTTTTGTAAATTCTGACACTACCAAGACCTTTTCTCTAGGATCATCTTCCCGTAACTTTATCAGGTCGTAAAGAAATGCCGTAGTCTGTAACGAGAGGAAACTACACAATCCCAATACATCACGGAGTTATACTTGCGATGCGACAGGAATACTAATTAAGTAAGAGGCGTTATCTTAACTCATTATAAGAACAAGAAAATACTTTAATTAACCAAACACTCCTTAATATGATTGAAGCTGTGTAGTATGTGAGTAATTTCTATACCTTAGTACTTGCTATCCACGTGTCTAGTTCGGGTTTTTTCAACCGCAGTTCAATTTGGTCGGGTGGTATTTCATAGAACGACTCTCTTTGTATCTGCTTCCTACAGTTTGGACATAATTCAGATCCATTCTTTCCAACAAAAAATATCATTTAAGATAATAACCATGTCATAACTATTCTTGGTCATGCCATCAACATAAAACATCAATTAGGGCACACGATATAGATAATTATACATACGACATATATATAAATTGTGTATATTTATCATCAAAATTTTTGATACTATCTGTCCTCCTGTAATCTCTGCTCGTTCATAATTATTGTAAATATGTATATATGTACCTCTTGCACCATTCATTTGGTTTTTGAGAAAATAAATGATTTAATGAATGAATGAATGAATGACAAAAGGATATCAAACTTACCTGAGACATATGTTGTAGAATGCAGTTTTTACAAAACACATGTTTGCAAACGGTTATTATTGGAGAGTCAGGAGTTTGAAGACAAATACTACACTCGTTTAGAGGAAACCGAAGAAATGAAATAAGGTGCTTTGTGTATTGATTTTGCTCCACTAAATAATTGACGTATCCCATCAAACTTCCGCTGAAATCTGAATAGAAACGGTTTAATGATTTTCCCGTTTGCAGAAATTTGATAATGAAGTATAGAATTATGTTTAGATAACTATTACAATCTGCATTCTTTACCTGTATTTTACTGATGTGTATTAAAAAAAAGGAAAAAAAAATATTCAATTATATTTATTTCTGAAAACAGTCTGCTTTTTATTTAACAAATAAATTAAGGACGGAATAAATTAGGCCTAATGAATAAATAAACAAAATCCTGCTATTTAAGTCTCAAACATAGGAAAAATATTATAATTCAACTGAAACATAGGTAATCAGAGATTACAGAGCTCACCTCAACGAATGTTGTCTTTAAGTAAAGCAAAGTCCCACACTAAACTAATAATCTAGGAGTGAGCATCCCTAGATGCAACATTTATGCAATTTTGGTCTGATAGGGCTTGCAGTTACTTGGTAATAGACTTATCTGAAAACTTAAAACTAGTCACTCATCCAGAAAATGTAAGTCAAATCCTGCATCCGAAGCAAGTTCTGAGATTGTTCGTCCCTTGATGCATCATCCATGCAAGTTTGGATCAGATAGGCCTTATAGTTACTTGGAAATGAGAACTGCACCAAAAATTTAATCTGGTTGCTCATCCGGAAAATTTAGGTCAGATCCAGCATCGAAAGCAAGTCCAGTAGTTTGAATCCTTAGATGTATCATCCATGCAAGTTTGGTCAATATAGGGCTTATAGTTACTTGGAAATGAGATCTGCTCCAAAAACTTTAACCTGGTCACTCATCCGGAAAATATAGGTCAGATCCAGCATCCGAAGCAAGTCCAGTGGTGTACATCCTTAGATGTATCATCCATGCAAGTTTGGTCAATATAGGATTTATAGATACTTTGAAATGAGATCTGCTCCAAAATCCTTAACCTGGTCACTCATCCGGAAAATATAGGTCAGATCCAGCATCCGAAGCAAGTCCAGTAGTGTGCATCCTTAAATGTATCATCCATGCAAGTTTGGTCAATATAGGGCTTTTAGTTACTTGGAAATGAGATCTGCTCCAAAAACTTTAACCTGGTCACTCATCCGGAAAATATAGGTCAGATCCAGCATCCGAAGCAAGTCCAGTAGTGTACATCCTTAGATGTATGATCCATGCAAGTTTGGTCAATATAGGATTTATAGATACTTGGAAATGAGATCTGCTCCAAAATCCTCAACCTGGTCACTCATCCGGAAAATATAGGTCAGATCCAGCATCCAAAGCAAGTCCAGTAGTGTACATCCTTAGATGTATCATCCATGCAAGTTTGGTCAATATAGGATTTATAGATACTTGGAAATGAGATCTGCTCCAAAATCCTCAACCTGGTCACTCATCCGGAAAATATAGGTCAGATCCAGCATCCAAAGCAAGTCCAATAGTGTACATCCTTAAATGTATCATCCATGCAAGTTTGGTCAATATAGGGCTTATAGTTACCTGGAAATGAGATCTGCTCCAAAAACTTTAACCTGGTCACTCATCCGGAAAATATAGGTCAGATCCAGCATCCGAAGCAAGTCCAGTAGTGTACATCCTTAGATGTATCATCCATGCAAGTTTGGTCAATATAGGGCTTTTAGTTACTTGGAATTGAGATCTGCTCCAAAAACTTTAACCTGGTCACTCATCCGGAAAATATAGGTCGGATCCAGCATCCGAAGTAAGTCCAATAGTGTGCATCCTTAGATGTATCATCCATGCAAGTTTGTTCAATATAGGGCTTATAGTTACTTGGAAATGAGATCTGCTCCAAAAACCTTAACCTGGTCACTCATCCGAAAAATATAGGTCAGATCCAGCATCCGAAGTAAGTCCAATAGTGTACATCCTTAGATGTATCATCCATGCAAGTTTGGTCAATATAGGGCTTTTAGTTACTTGGAATTGAGATCTGCTCCAAAAACCTTAACCTGGTCACTCATCCGGAAAATATAGGTCGGATCCAGCATCCGAAGTAAGTCCAATAGTGTGCATCCTTAGATGTATCATCCATGCAAGTTTGTTCAATATAGGGCTTATAGTTACTTGGAAATGAGATCTGCTCCAAAAACCTTAACCTGGTCACTCATCCGGAAAATATAGGTCAGATCCAGCATCCGAAGTAAGTCCAATAGTGTGCATCCTTAGATGTATCATCCATGCAAGTTTGGTCAATATAGGGCTTATAGTTACTTGGAAATGAGATCTGCTCCAAAATCCTTAATCTGGTCACTCATCCGGAAAATGTAGGTCAGATCCAGCATCTGAAGCAAGTTCAGTAGTGTGCATCCTTAGATGTATCATCCATGCAAGTTTGGTCAATATAGGGCTTATAGTTACTTGGAAATGAGACATGCTCCAAGAACTTTAACCTGCTCCAAAAACTTTAACCTGCTCCAAAAACATTAACCTGGTCATTCTTTAGCTGAAATTGCAGCAACTGAAACCTTGACTGGTACAATGAAACACACTAGAAGCATCCTCCATGCATCTCTGACTAATATAGGCCATAGAAGTACTTGAAAAGAAAACTTCTCAAAAAACCTTAACCTGGGACGCCGACGCCGAGGGTATTACATAAGCTCCCTAAACTTCGTTGAGGTGAGCTAAAAATTTTATGCTATAGATTTGATCATATAATTTAATCAATTGAAAAACCGAGAAAATTGAGAATTTAGCAACTATTTTAACGAATGTAAGATTATATATATTCAAAACCTTCATTCAAGAGCATTTTAAAGGGCTTGGACGCAGATTTGAAATTTATGTTTTCTAATCTTTTCAGTATAGTATCATGACTTATATGTTGCTGGAACATTTCACACCGAAATATTATAAAGGCGTGCTTAGAAACTTTTTTTTATCTGGAAATTATTAAAACTACGAATTCCGGGACGTTTGATTGACACATCTCCTTTCACTTTCACGATGTAAAGTATATCCTTAAAATGTAAGAAAAGTGGAATTTTTTGTGTTTTAATCAATAATGCAAAAACTATAATCAAGAAAATTCAAAGTAGAAATGTGAGAAAGCAAGATCAATTCACCTGTATTGTCAGTTCGTGCTCAGTGATGTGTGCAGAATAAACAAATTGAGCACAGTTTCAACGTAAACATGAACAATAACAGAGCTCGGGGTGTCTATGGTACAAATACAAATGTTTGACGTGATGTTATAAAGAATCTCGTTGTCAATGAATTTTTAGAATTTTCGTAAATGTTCAATTCATTAAACTGAAATTAATTTTTGAAATAAAAATAAAAAATTCAAATTATAAACAAAACTGCAGAGCAACTGTGTCCAGGCCCCTTCAAATTTTTATTTTTGTTTTTTAAAAAAGTAAAAAAAAATTTCATTTCTGAAAACGCGACAATAAAATACCTTGTCAGTTAAAGAATACATGTAATGCAAATAAATGAGTAAATAAAGTTTTTAATATTTTCAAATAATAGATAGTCTACTCAGCCATCCCAAATGGAGGTTGAGGAAACAGGATAATACAGAATAATAAATATAGATATCAACTGCAAAATATGACTTTATTTCCAACTCTTTCCCTATAGGTTCATCTTTCCCATATTCACCAACTATGATAGACTATAGCAATCAAATAATTATCTTTCTTGATTTTTACAAATTTTTGCTATACCTGAATTTCAAACTTGCAAAACGGAAACATGTAATAAAGATAATTGATACATATAAAATTGAACACACATTTAAAAATGATCTTTTTCAAATTACCTTGGGAATGAAGATTAATAAGTGACGGATGGCAACAAAGCTGCCGAAGTCGAACAAGAGCTCGACATACGTAACGGAACTCCTCAAGGATCATCCCTCTCTCTATAAACCTAACAAAAGACCAAGAACTTCAGATAATTATAAATTAATAAATTTAATCCAATAAATATTTACTCATACAATTATTTATCAATATCGGCCAAAGGAATTGAATATTAATCCTCTGTCTTTTATTAACTCACCTACAAATTCTATTTTTATACTCCTGAAACTCAATATTGTATATTTCTTTTTCATTTTTGGAAAACTCAAGATATTTAACTCGAACACTTTTTTCTGGTAAGTCTACAAGTCTTTTCCCATCTATTTTTGTTCCTTTCGTTCTTCTTAGAGCGATAGTACTCATCAACTTGTATAATCGTCTAGCAAAGAAAATCTCAACATTATTACATGTACACACCATACATAATACAAAGGTAAAGTTACTAAACATTAATCAGATGTTATCGCCAAGAAATTTATGGTCGGATTACAAAGTATTCACAAGTCAATAAGTAAAAACTTAATTATTATGATCAGCCCTACATTACTTGGTCAGAATGATGAAGAATTGAGACAGAAATTGCGCCTTACAAATTATCTATAATGTAATTCAAAGTCAACATATAACTTGGTATGAAAATATTGTAACTTAATTTACCATACATAACATTGAAGATAATGGTCATGATTCAATAACTAGTAACCATAACAGAGGTTTACTTTCATTATCTAGCAATTTTAAAGCCATATATATGTCAACTTATGTTGAAACTAAAGTCAACTCCAATGACAGCATTAAAATATCCTTGCTTACCATAATCAGAAAAAGACCACAATAAAGGCCAAAGTTGTTGCTCTCATTATAATTTAATAACTTCTAGTATGTATAAAGTTGGATGAGATATCAAGAGAATCATACATGCTTCAATATAAAAATCAAATGGACGAGGTTACCTGCTATGTTAATATAAATTTGAAAAATCATATTTTGATTTACCTATGTGTTAAGGTAAGAATTCTAGTACTATGATCCCATTGGATGATTTCTTTTTCGATTTTTAGCTTCAAAAATATCTTTCTGGTTTAAATAGGGTGACCATAAGACATAAGTATCAGAAAAGCCCATCATCAACAGAGATTAATATTACATTTACTAATATCGAGGCCAAGGTCAAGGTCAAGAACAAGGTCGACTTATGCATGAAGCTGCAAGATTATACATTGAAATAACAATCTCAACAGAGCTTCACAAATCTTGAAGTAACATATTACCTTTTTGCACTTATATCGCCAAACTTAAGTGGTGTTTCTATGACCCGCTCCCATCGCTCATAGTCGTTAAATGTGTCAATATTCAGGAACGTAATCATAGAGAACAAATCGCCAATCTTGTTTTGAATGGGAGTTCCTGAAGATTAAATGATGTTACGTCAAATTCACAATTAAATATATATGAGTGACAGTTAATAAAATGCATATCAAATATAATGTACCTGAAATAATCCATTTTCTTTCGGATAGAAGATTACAGATGGCCTTGCTACACTGAGCATCAGGATTTTTTATTTTGTGGCCTTCATCCAGAACTATTCTAAACCAATTAACTCCTTGCAAAGCATTAACTCCCTTTAAATTAAAGGTGGACATAATTAAACTGCTTCATTTTTGATGCAAAACTTAATAATAACGATATGGATATGGTAATGGAATCTTAATACAGTGTGTATCTACGTACATTAAAGTCACTCCGCACTGTACCGTATGTTGTAATAACGATGTCTTGTTCACTCAGCACCCTGTTGTATCGGTTTTCGTTTTCATGGTGGAATAAAAGTATCTTCAGATGGAATGGGTCACGTACGTGTTCGAGCAGTTGAGCCTGTTCCAAAATTCAAATTCATTAAATAATGTAAGTTAATCATATTTGTCAACAAAAAGAAGGAATTTTCACTAAGAAATATTCGGTGCAATTGACATTTGTACCTCCACAATTGACCTCGTCTGTCTGTTTGTTTGTTATCGTAAATAGAAACTGTGAAATATAGATGTGGTCAATCAGTCTTCAGGAAAAAAAAATGTATGAGATACAGATTTGAAAGCTATTTGTTGATTTGTTTATGACTTATTTCCCATGTGGCCAATGGTTTTAACTTGATTGACAAGATTTAGGGAATCCTTTAACATGGACTCGACACATGCTCAGCATATAAGAATTCTTATACCGAATAATTTTTTCAATGTTCTGGTCATAGTCATCAAAGAAATTATTGAGATATTTAAAAAAAATCCTAATATCAAGTCGTAGGTATAGTAGAAACAGTTTCTTTTTTTCATTAGAATAACGCCAATGTGCCCAGCTGCATATTGACGTCCAGATCCATATTTCAAATCGGATATTTATTGCTTTTTTAAAAGATCATTTTATACGGAAAAAAGTTAAATATTTATAATACCTGTTTACAAAAATAGATATAATATATAACAGACATAAGACAGAATTACTCTAAAGGTACTCTTCTTTGTACCTGGGTAACTAGTGGAAAAGCCTGAAGTTAGTCTATAATTTACATTACTACACATATATAACATTGAGCATAAAATGCTCAGAAGACCATGTGGACCATGAACCTCCTAAGGTCTTATTGCACATCTATAGGATACCACTTATCATATTACAAAAGATGAATTGTATAGGAATACCGGGGACCAGTTTTTTTCTTTTTAAACAAGATGTCGTTTTTCGACCCAAAAGTGCCCCCCCCCCCCCCGGGTGAAATGAAAATTCTAGGATCTTATTGCATATCTAAAGGACACTATCAATCATAAACCAGAAGACGAATTGGCTACTGCTTCAAATGATGAGGAGTTTGAAGAAGAACGTGTGGCATATACCCGAATTTTCTTTAGAAAGTGCGGGTATAATAAGAAACAAAGTTGTTTGCCTCACGACTGTAAATCAAGTACACAGTTTACCTGCCATACACTCAAGATGGACAGTGGCGCCACAATCAAGGTTGGAAAGTGACGTGTATAACGAGGAGTATTTTCTTTCATCTTTGTACTGTCTGCCCGATGAAAATCTGTCACACAAGAGTATACAAATGTAGACCACAGGACACTTTTAATGTTATATATAAGCTCACTGAATGACCATTTTGGTTATAATATTGATGTTTGCTTACAATTATGATCATCTAATTCTATAATCTCATCATCAATGTTTTCCTCCCATTCCTTGTCTTCGTCAGAGTCTATTGATATCACTTCAAAACAAACAGTATTGAAAAAGAATTGTAAAATCAAAGTCTAAACTATTGGAAACATGACAGCAAAACTTACAAGTTTCATGAAAACTTAGTTAAAATGGCTTGTACACGAGTCTTAAGCTACACTCAGTTAGACTGATTAATACTGACCCTCTGGAAGGTCATTGTCTGAATCATCCGAATCTATGAGGATCACTAAGAATGTAAAAAAAAACAGACACAACAGTTAAACATCCTCTCGTCAATATTTAAAATATGTGTACACAGAACGGAAATTGACGAATTGTGTTTACCACTTATGTCATAAGTTAAATTCAGTACTAGACTGTTAAATACCTACCTTCTGAAAATTCATCGTCTGATTCATCCGAATTTATAAGGATCACTACAAATGTTTCAAAAAAGTATATCATACTAATAAAATCTGTCGTCAGTCTTTTCATATTCAGATATAAATTGATTTTTTTTTCAATTTACCAGGTGGTTGGCTTCCTTCCTCAATCAAAATGACCTCTGAATCGTCCTACAAAGTAAAAACTTTTTCCAAATATCGATGGGCTATTAATAAAACCTGATGCCAAAGAAGTTTTTTTTTCATCCAAATAATTTGGCTATTTCTATCATTATTTATTTCATATCTATTAAAATTCCCAATATGCCATAAAAACTGTTGACTTTTTAATCCTTTTTTTTTTTATAGAAATGAATGTTAATTGTTTAAGTTTTGTTGAGAAAACCTCTCTGCTGTTGCTCGATTCTCCATGTTCAGTATCCATCTCGTCATCATTCCACACTTCCTCTTGATGTTCTTCTCGATCCGCCATAATAAGAGCAATCATCGTCAGAGTTTTCCCCAAACCCATGTCATCAGCTAAAATTCCTGTATAAATTGAAGAGAAGGGGTATAGACAGTCATCTTCATATCTAGTAGCCTCAATTTATCTCAATTCATGTGTGAAAATGTAGAATTATACTCCCCTTGAGTAAGTTAATTTAAAATTGACATTTAAGGTGGTGAGTCATTATCTACAGTGACTGATTATTGTAATCAAATTACGTATCGTTTATGGTGTCCTTCTTTGCAATTCAGAATATTTTGGAGAGAAAAAAGTACAAAATACTAGAAAAGCATATTAATGCATAACATTGTGGTTTTGAGTACTTTCTTTGGTTATGAAGAACAAAGCTTTTTCAATACCTAATGCCAGCTAGGTTTTACAAAAAAGTACAGTTTTCCAAGGTTTTTCAAAAACCTCTATTTAATAAGAGATAGATACGTAACTGTGACAGATAAGAAACCATCAAACAAAAAAAAATCTTTAATATATATTTAAACTTTTAAACATGCTGAATTTTTTTAAAGTAAAATATATACTAGTAGAATTTAATACCTATATATATATATATATATATATATATATATATATATATATATATATATATATATATATATATATATATATATATATATATATATATTCTGTTAAAGAATGAACTATATAATCATATAAACAACCCACGGTTAATTACTAAAAGAATGAGTGTTACAACTAAATTACTTCACAGAAGCAGCTAAAAAAAAAAACTTCAATTTTTACATGTTTATTTAATATAGAAATTAGTTTTGCCGTATATCCAATTATATTTACTGAAAGATTATCTACTGAATTTGGAAAAAGAAGTCGCAACTGGCGATATTTTAACCAGCTTTACAAATTTATATGTATTAACACAACTACAGAGTTGGTAGTTTACAAAAACAAAAATGAGTTTCTATATCTGAATTAAGTTTTATATACAACTGCCTATTTCTGTTGCTTTAAATCTTTTTTATTGGTAAATATGTTTAGAATTTTAGAAAAGTTGAAACTTTTGCATTGCCTTTAAAAATGTTTAGGATTTAAAAAATAAATTAAATATCTATTTTGAAAAATAACATGTATTATACTTAATTTTAGACCAGAATAAAGTAAAAATTTGACTAACACAGATTAAACAACATTTTACATACATTTTGTAAAAATAAAACTTACCGCCACGAACACTCGGTGGTCTGGAGACTTCTCGACATAACGTCACTTGATTGAAGTAAGCGCCATCTCTGTATTCCCAAAAAGGAGGAAGCAGCTTCCCACTCTCTCTCTCCTTCATCCAAAAAAGAGCTTGCTTCTGATGTCTATGAAGAGGTGTTGATATTGTCTTTTCATACAATGAAATATATGGAGATAACGAACAGTGTTCAAGCTCAAAAGTCCTTTAAAAAATACAAAATAGGAGCAGAGCAAACACGGACCTCCAAACATCAGAGGTGGGATCAGGTGCCATGGAGGAGTGAGCATACCCTGCCGACCGGTCACACCCGCCGTGCTCCTTGTCATGATCGGGAAATAACGGAAAAATCCGTCGACAATTCAGTGTGTAAATAATGGCCTAACAATTAGTATGAAATACGTCAGTCAGCATTTGATTCAATGATAAATTGTATTTGCTGACAAGGTCATTGTATCGACCATAGAACTTACGAAATGATGACTTTAAACGAGACAGCTGATATTCTTGTTTCATCAACTTGTTTGTCAATAATTTACCTCGTTTTAGAAATTGTACATACGTAGAGCATGCTCTTGCGTATCGAATCAACTGAGAGATATATATACCCCGTATGCAGGTGATGAAGGTATATTGCTGCATAAGTAAGGGAAGTTGACGATTGAAAAGTTAAAGTCATCACGTTTATCATAAAGCTTGGTTGTTAGATTACCATTAACGTCTTTTTCAAGTAAAATATCCAAATATGAAACAGATGTGTCAGACTCTGTGGTATCTTTTATCTCAAACTCACCAGGATATATCGTATCGACATCAGAATGGAAATAGCCATTATTAATTGACAATACATCGTCGATATATCTAAATGTCGAGTTGAAGGCCACAGCAAGTGTTGTCTTCTTTTCACGTACAAGATTTTGGACAATAGATTGTTGGAAGACCTGGTCTCCAAAAACCACATCGATATTGTCAATCAGAAACTCAAGCATCTTTTTAATGTCAACTTCAGAGTACTTGTGTGTACAATCAGAATGTTTTTTAACAAAATAATTTTGCAAATGACCAATGACAAGGTAAGTATATTTACGAGTTCCATTTTTATTGAAAAAGCAGCTGTCAATGATATCAAAAAGCCTGGACTTTAATTTATCGTGGGGAATGGTTGTGTATAAAGTAGAAAAATCGTAAGTTTATAAGCTGTTGATTTTGGTAAAATCTTGTGATTTCAAATTTTCCAAAAGTTCTTTGGAATTTTTAAGTATCTACATCTGATTTACACCACTTCTCGAATATATTGTTGCACAGTACTCTTGAAGTTTCTCCTTCACCACTGTTAATATCTTAGTGAGGAGTAAAGAAAGAGGCTTGGTTGAACATTTACTGGAACCCGCCATGTATCTTTGTTTGTAAGGATTTTTATGAAGTTTCGGAATCCAATATAAATATGGTAATTCAAATTCATTTTGATTGTTTGGAATATTAAAAATATTCAAAACTGACATATGATTTTGAAGAATTTCTTCCTTAGAAAGGGAACTACGAGTATAAGTTGGATTACCACTTGTAGAATTAAATCCAAGTTCCTCTAAAATACATTTAATATAATGAGCCTTACAAACAAAGACAATGTTGTTACCTGCTTTGTCAGCAGGGACCAGTACGTACTGATCATGTAATCTATCTAATTCTTTTTTCACTTCTGTATTATTGAATACAGAAGGATAGATGGTTCTCATATTGCCCCTCAATCTTTTAATGCGTGATTTTAACATACATCTGATACATTTAATCCATTCTAACAAAGTGTCAAGGTCTTCTTTTTCATGTCTGGCCCATCGCCTGGCGTAGTCCTCTACAGAATCCATAATATTTATGAAATTCCGACGCCAGTTGAAGGATCGGGGTTCCCTAAATTTAGGACCTTTAAAAATTAGTGATCTAAGGTCCTCATTATTAACTTTATTTACGTCACCAGTAATAACGTGTCCAGCAGGACTATAGTTATAGGGCGAAGAAGAACATGAACACGATGGAGGATTATGTTTCGGATATTCGATATCAAGGCCCTGGATTTGTAGGAAATACAAGGTGTAGTCTTAAACTTGAAATATGGTGGAATACAAGACTGGACCCTTTTGTGATTAAGAATATTACTTATATTAACCGCTTCAATCCCTTTGTTGGCATATTGAATTTTAAGGAAAAAACTGATTGTTTTAGCTGCATTTTCTTCAGTAAAACGCGGGGGTTTAAAAAGCCTATGATTTGCAATATCCATAATCACAGATCCGAGCCTATATTCTGGTGTCGAGGAATCAAAAAATGGACTTTCTTTGACCTTTTCAAGAAGACTATTCAAAAGTTTCAAAGATACAGAGTAGAGTTTGGTGCGAATATGATGTAGACCTAACTGTTGATTTACGTAAGGTAGCAATGAATCAAAAGAGACATCGTGTATTAAAGGTTTATTGTAAGACCGATGTTCATGACTACGCTTACGTCTCTGTGTATGGTTAAAAAAAGTCCCATCACATTTACATTGTTACACTGTGGACTGGAAAGATTTCCAACACTATCGACATTGTCATTACATCCATAGGGAAAGGCTGTCCCTAGCTTCCTAATCCAAAATTCTTCTTGTTGTCTACGGAAAGTTGTACTCAGTGATGGACTGTTTGTGTGGTGGTAAATCTTTTCTAGAATTCTAACTTTCATTGACAAAATAGAATGATCAGGTAAATCAAAATGTTTGTATAAAAGTTGCTGACCAAAGTCAGCTATTCGTAAATTCTATGTTCGTTAAAACGGCCTTGTTAGCAAGTATAAACTATCGCTGGGTCGTATTTTGGCTGACGTGCTTCATACCATTTGTGAGGCCTTTGTCTAAGAAAACGTTTTCATAATTTCAGTTAATGTTTTTATAATTATTTTACGACTTTTCCCCTGCGTGTTCCTTCCAGCTACAGGGGTCCTAAATATGTAAGCCCAAAGTAACACTTCATTCTTACATTTATGAAGTAATATTCAGCTTTCATCTGTTGTTAACGTCTTCCAACCTATTCGACACTCAAGAGCATCCTCTGAGTGCGATCAATTTTAAAATCGAGGCAGGTTACTGACAGATAAGTTGATTTTACAGGGATTTCAACAACCTCGTTTAAAGTCAGCTATTCGTAAATTCTATGTTCGTTAAAACGGCCTTGTTAACAAGTATAAACTATCGCTGGGTCGTATTTTGGCTGACGTGCTTCATACCATTTGTTAGGCCTTTGTTTTATACTAAATTTGACTACGGAATATTCCGTCTACCTGATAAATACATAGGGTTCACAGCGGGTATGACCGGTCGACAGAGGATGCTTACTCCTCCTAAGCACCTGATCCCATCTCTGGAATTTCTCGGGTCCATGTTTTATGCCCTGTTTACAGATTTGTGTTGTTTGTAGATTTTATCGATCAGTGTTCGTTGTATTCGCCTTTTTCTACATAAAATCCGAGTAGCTGTTTTGCTAACCGATATAATCGTTCTCCAGTATATATATGGAACAAAATGTAAATGATATGAAACATCCATATGTTGAAATTTAATGTAGAGATGAATATAATGTTAAATTAAGAAAAATTTAAGTTAAAAAAAATCTTTAAACCTTCGGGGGTTCAGCAATACCATCTTTCTTTCCTTCTGTTAAAGCTTCAAATAACCTGTCCAATTCCAATCCCTCCTGTTATAAAATAAAAAGATCAAACTATACAGTAATCAAAGTATACAAGTTGAGTTAGATGATCCACTCTGGTCCTTTCAAAGAAAATAAAAAAATAATACTATTAAATGTATTCACTTTATACATTACCTCTTTCAGATTTTCGAAACGGTTTCCACTGAAAGTGATGTACCACTGATCTCGGTAATATACAATGCCTTGTTTGATGTCCTCCTCTGATTCTGTTGGATTCACCACTATATTTATATACGCTTTCAACTTGGATAGTTTCTTTAAAGTTTCAATTTTCTCATTCTTTACTCCCCAAATTGTAATGTCTACTGCTAGTGTATTAGAAACATGCTGCTCACTTCCAAATGGTGTAACTCTATGTAAAATAGAAAAAAAACTGTATTGATTTGTTGACAATCCCTCTGTAGCCGACAGTGGCCTTCAATTCCACATACATCAATGAGTTTTAACAATTAATTTCTTTTCAAATTATACGTTGATTCGATATATCCAATGGAACTAGAAATAAAAGACACCAAGGTGTCTGACACATCTGCTTGGTGTTTACGTTTCCCTGATGATTCGATACACAGGGGCATGTTCTGCGTGCGATCAATTTCTAAACGAAGGCAGAGAGTCAGACTTTTTAGTGTCTTTTATTTCGAATTCTGTGGGATATATCAAATGAACGTATGAAGAAAAATGAATCTTACTAATTAATAAAACGTAATTTATATATCAAGAAATTTTTGGAAAATTTGAAATCACAAGATTTTACCAAAATCAACAGCTTATAAACTTACGATTTTTCTACTTTATACACAACCATTCCCCACGATAAATTAAAGTCCAGGCTTTTTGATATCATTGACAGCTGCTTTTTCAATAAAAATGGAACTCGTAAATATACTTACCTTATCATTGGTCATTTGCAAAATTATTTTAAAAAACATTCTGATTGTACACACAAGTACTCTGAAGTTGACATTAAAAAGATGCTTGAGTTTCTGATTGACAATATCGATGTGGTTTTTGGAGACCAGGTCTTCCAACAATCTATTGGAATTCCAATGGGTACCAATTGCGCCCCGTTATTAGCAGAACTTTTTTTGTATTCATATGAAGCAGAATTTGTCCAAAATCTTGTACGTGAAAAGAAGACAACACTTGCTGTGGCCTTCAACTCGACATTTAGATATATCGACGATGTATTGTCAATTAACAATGGCTATTTCCATTCTTATGTCGATACGATATATCCTGGTGAACTTGAGATAAAAGATACCACAGAGTCTGACACATCTGTTTCATATTTGGATATTTTACTTGAAAAAGACGTTAATGGTAATCTAACAACCAAGCTTTATGATAAACGTGATGACTTTAACTTTTCAATCGTCAACTTCCCTTACTTATGCAGCAATATACCTTCATCACCTGCATACGGGGTATATATCTCTCAGTTGATTCGATACGCAAGAGCATGCTCTGCGTATGTACAATTTCTAAAACGAGGTAAATTATTGACAAATAAGTTGATGAAAAAAGAATGTCAGATGCCTCGTTTAAAGTCATCATTTCGTAAGTTCTATGGTCGATACAATGACCTTGTCAGCAAATACAATTTATCATTGAGTCAAATGCTGACTGACGTATTTCATACTAATTGTTAGGCCATTATTTACACACTGAATTGTCGACGGATTTTTCCGTTATTTCCCGATCATGACAAGGAGCACGGCGGGTGTGACCGGTCGGCAGGGGTTGCTCACTCCTCCAGGGCACCTGATCCCACCTCTGATGTTTGGAGGTCCGTGTTTGCTCTGCTCCAATTAAGTATTGTTTTATGGACTTTTGAGCTTGAATACTGTTCGTTATCTCCATATATACCATCTAAAAGTTAAATTATAGGTAAAGGCAGGAAGAGACTTCTTTTCATGTAGAAGGTTTTGAATAAATTCTGCTTCATAAGGTAATGGAACATTAACCTTATTGTGATTTTTTTTCATTTATGTAATACATAAAAAATGTATTTTATATATATATATATATATATATATATATATATATATATATATATATATATATATATATATATATATATATAAGGAATCACTGTCTAGTTAGAAGAGTATGCATAAATTATCCCACATTTCCAACTATCATTGATGTCCCTGGCATACTCTACTAACTAGACAGTGATTCCTTATATTTCCATTTCATTGTGAAATAAAATTGTAAATTTAAATTTTAGATTTTAAAAATGTAGACTAATAGAATTAAATTACGCGAGGCCTCACATTTCAATTTCAATAGTACCCGCCCACTGACGTCAAACACAATGACAGCCGCATGAGAATTACATGCATATATTAGGCCTCCTAAGCGTCAGACACAAGGACAACCGCACTAGAATTTCATGCATATTAGGCCTTCTTTGCTTCTGACCTTTCGTTTGGCGAAATTTACATTCCGGTAGAATGATCAAGAAATCAACTCAACTAACTTTCAAAGAGTTATCACAGAGAAAACAAATAGAAATGGAAATATATATATATATATATATATATATATATATATATATATATATATATATATATATATATATATATATATATATATATATATATATATATATATATATATATATATATATATATCTGGTATATAAAATAGACTATAATGATATATTGAAAAAAGCAAACTTTTCAGGCTCTACACGACGCAGATTGAACTACAATAGAAATATCAAATAATATTTTACATCCCTAATTTTAGCAATTAGCATATAGTGTTTATGTTTCCCAGATGATTCGTTGTGCAAGAACATGCTCTGTGTACTTGCAATTTCTAAAACCGAAGCAGGCGACTGACAAATAAGTTGATTTTACAAGGGTATCAATAATCTCGTTCAAAGTAACATTCCGAAATTATACACAACATTTTAAACTTCTAAAGTCGATACAATGACCTTGTTTGTAATTGCAACATATGTCGAATGTTGACTAATATATTTAATAAGAATTGTAAGGTATTATTTTCAAGACTTTCAAAAAGATTAGAGACAAGGTACTTTTACAGAAATAGGAGGTACTTTGTTGAAGGGATTTTAATTAAATATGTTTCAAATGTCATGATTTTAGCCGGGTAATAATGCTGGGTACCAGCAGATTTTGAAAGGCATGGGTATGACATTTGATTTGCGCCTTAATGTATTTTTGTCATAAAAAAAGGGACAGCAAATTAATTAACCACTCTATTTTTTTTTTTTTATTTTTCAATCGTCAACTTCTCTTACTTATGCAGCAATATACCCTTAACACCTGCATATTGTGTGTATATCTCTCAGTTGATTCGATCACAGGAGTTCGCGTACCTATCAATTTAACCAAAATTTTCAGTAAATAAAAAAAAATACGTAATACCTATGATAATAACACAAGGAGTGCAACGCATTCCAGGTCACCGGGGAACCCCTCTCTTAATATCGAGGCTGCCGCGCAATCAATTTTCAATCGAAAATTATAAAACACAAACCATTCTTTTCGGAAGGAACCATTCTTTATGTCTGTTAATGCATATGATTTGAAATGCTTGTTTAACAACAGTAGCAGTGACATTTCTCAACGACTTCGCTCAAACGTTGGTTGTCCGCGACGCCATTACGTGACGTAATACGGGCGCGTCGCTTTACCCAAAAGGAACATATAATGCCTGAAATGAACAATCACATACAATATGATATCAGAGATAAAGCTTTTAACTTGTAATACGAGTACTTTTTTGTCTATTGTGAAATATATATAAAATATTTGACACATTTTACATAATAAGTTAGCAGTGGTATTTAAAAGATTAAGGGGGGGGGGTCAATTCACAACTTATGGTTAATAAATACAAATTTTTATGTATTGATGGAAAAATATGTGAATAATTTGGGGGGGCTGACGTCATCTTCATTTTTATTCTAAAATATTAAAAAAAAATGCCCGCGAATCTTTATAATTGATTATTAACTTAAGTATACTAAAGTACTTCCTTGTCTTGACCCTTTAGACATTGAACGGGTATGTGTTTTCCAACCCCTATTGAATTTATTCAATGTAGTATGCTAAAAATTAAGCATCTATTAATACTAGGTTACGTTTGAGGTGTTCAAAAAACTTGAAAGCAGGAAGTAGAACGGGGGGGGGGGGGGTGCAATCCAAGTTAATGTGTCTTCAATTTTGGCGAGGAAATCTTTGACAAGTAAAAAAAGGAAGAACGAAAAGATTATTCAACAATCGTATACTTTGAGAATTTAATCAGTATTATCACGGAAGATGGCGTACCCATCAATTGTAACGAAATTTTCAGTAAATAAAAAAACTATTAAATACTTATTTTAAAAAAAAAAAAAAATACGTAACACTTAATAATATGTGCTCATGCTCACCTGAGCAGAAGGCTCAAGTAAGCTTTTCTGATCAATATTTATCTGTTGTTTTAACAAGAAAAAAGAGGCCATTTTATAAGTAGGCCTATTTATATATGGGTATGTATTTACTATGTTGACGTACAAGTTGTCGGGGGGGGGGGGGGGGGGGTCGATATTCAAGGGTTGTTCAATCGCTGGACGTGCGCTTCCATTTTACTTTTATTTATTGGGGGGATATATGATTTTTTTATTGAACTATATCACTCACAATTTTGTTCACATGCATGCAGTGTTACATTATTAAATAATCCATTTTACACATACATGTACAGATCCTCGCACACTTCATGCAAGAATATCAAAAAGTGCCCGAAGCATTTTTTGAAATGATGTTTCAAATGTCAAAAGGAAATAATAATTATCTTTTAGGAGAAAGACACTGCTCAAAACATTTCCCTGTTACGTTCAATACATTTGTCTACTGGAAGTACATGTAATTCATTTTGATTTCTTTTATGTATCATTTTGTACGTTGTATTCTTCACATTATTTACACCTGTATGTAAAAACGGAGAACTGTTGAATTTGTTTGTAGAACATTCATATCGTACATGACTTAAGTTATCTAAATTTCCATGTTATTATTCATCTCTGGCATTTTTTTTTCTTTTTGGGTAAATCAACGCACCCATTATAACGTCACGTAATGGCGTCGCGGACAGCCAACGTTTGGGCGAAGTCGTTGAGAAATGTCACTGCTACTGATG